TTGGCAAAATAAGCAATTATAAAATACTAGAGGCCTGGTGCACGAAATTCGTGCATGGGGGCAGAGAGGGAGGTGTCCCTCAGCCCAGCCTGCACCCTCTCCAATCTGGGACCCCTCAAGAGATGTCTGACTGCCCATTTAAACCTGATCCTGGTGGGATCGGGCCTAAACGGGCAGTGGGACATCCCTCTCACAATCCAGGACTGCTGGCTCAAAGCTGCTCACCTGCCTGCCTTCCTGATTGCCCCTAACCACTTCTGCCTGCCAACCTCATCACACCCTAACCACTCCCCTGCCAACCTGATTAATGTCTAACTGCTCGTCTGCCAGCCTGATTGCCCCCAACTTCCCTCCTCTGCTGGCCTGGTCCCTCCCAACTGCCCTCTCCTGCTGGCCATCTTGTGGTGGCCATCTTGTGTCCATTATAGGGGCAGGATCTTTGACCACATGGAGACAGCCATATTATGTGTTGGGAGTGATGGTCAATCTGGATATTACTCTTTTATTAGACAGGATAGAGGCCTGGTGCATGGGTGAGGGCCAGCTGGTTTGCCCTGAAGGGTGTCCTGGATCAGGGTGGGGGTTTCCTTGAGGCATGGGGCAGCCTGGGTGAGGGGCCTGTGGTGGTTTTCAGGCCGGCCATGCCCCCTGGCGACCCAAGCAGAGGCCCTGCAATCTGGAAGTATTTACCTTCTATAACTGAAACTTTGTAGCCTGGAGCAGAGCCAAGCCTCCGGCTCACTCTGTGGGCGGCAGCCATTTCTACTGGGACTTATTTACCTTCTATAATTGAAACTTGTAGCTTTAAACAGAGGCCTGGGATGGCCAGGGTATGTGGAAAGCTTTGCTTCCTCTGTTGCTGGGGCAACGCTAGCCTGCTCTCTCCAGCTCCCTGGCTGCTGCCATTTCTGTTTGGATTTGTTTACCTTCTATTATTGAAACTTTGTAGCCTTAAGTGGAGGCCTAGGCCGGCAAGAGCAGGCAGAAAGCTTGGCTTCTTCCCTTGCCTGGGAAACCCAAACCTCCCTCCTGCTCTCTGTGGCCATAGCCATCTTGGTTGGGTTTATTTGCATACTTGCTCTGATTGGCTGGTGGGTGTGGTTGGTGGTGGCGTGGCTTGTGGGCATAGCAAGGTGGTGGTTAATTTGCATATTACTCTTTTATTAGGTAGGATAGTAATAAAAATATAGGAATTAAAATATAGAGTTATTACATGGCACAAATAAAAGATTAGTCATAGCGATTAACCTAAAATAAAAAGCTTTTCAAAGTGAGAGGCAACAAGCATTATTTGAAATATATTTTCTTTGGGAAACACTGATTCAGCAGAAGCCCAACAGTGTTCCAATTAAGAGACAAAGGCAAGGAGTATTAATGAGAAAGGGAAGGGGAACAATAAATCAATAGAAGAAAGGTATTTCTATTGGTTGACATATGCTCACATAGTGATATTCTTTTTTTTTAAATGTGAGCCATTATTTTATTTTATTTTTTTATGTATATTTTATTGACTTTTACACAGAGATGAATTGAGAGGGATAGAGAGTTAGAAACATCGATGAGAGAGATACATTGGCCAGCTGCCTCTTGCACACACCCCCACTGGGAATGTGCCCACAACTAAGGTACGTGCCCTTGACCGGAATCGAACCCGGAACCTTTCAGTCCGCAGGCCGACGTTCTATCCCCTGAGCCAAACCGGTTTTGGCGTGATATTAATTCTAAACGTTTTTAATTTTCAGTCTGGTAGATATCAGTCCAGTAGTCATATTATCTGCTTTCTTTGCACACAGCTCTTTGGGAGGCAATGTTGCTTTAAGCCCAGCCAAAAGGTTATTTTGCAAAGCTTGGAGCATAGAATGTACAAGGCAGTTTCTCTGGGATTGCAGCTCTGACTCCATTTTAAAGTGGCTCTGTGGGCAGCTCATCAGTCTCATAAACTAGCTCTATTTCTATTATTTTTTTGTATAGCTGAAGAAAGAATTAATGAATTAGAATGAATTTCATTTCTTAAGATCTAATGAATTATAATAGATCTTAAGAAATGAAAGAGAAAAAAGAATAAAAATGCAGCATTAACAAGAAGAAGGAAAATGTGGAAGAGACATGAAAGATAACGTGAGGAGGTCCAACCTTTATCTAGTTGCAAATCCATAAATAAAGAAGAAAAATAATAAAAGAGAGACTGAATTTAAAGAGAAATACAAGATTTGCCAAAACTAGTTTGGCTCAGTGGATAGAGTGTTGGTCTGCGGACTGGAAGGTCCCAGGTTCGATTCCGGTCAAGGGCATGTACCTTGGTTGCAGGCACATCCCCAATAGGGGGTGTGCAGGAGGCAGCTGATCGATGTTTCTCTCTCATTGATGTTTCTAGCTCTCTCTCTCCCTCTCTCTTCCTCTCTGTAAAAAGTCAATAAAATATATTTTTTTTAAATTAAAAAAAATTAAAGAGAAATACAAGATTCATATGTATCCTCAGGTTCAGAAAATCTAAGGGATTCCTATCTGAGTAAACAAAGAAGTGCACATCTGGATTAATAATAGTAAAGCTGTAGAAAAATAATAACAAAGATAAAATCTAAAAGCAGCAAGAGAAAAAAGACAGATTCCCTGCAAAGTAACTGTTATATTAGCATCTGATTTCTCAATAGCAACAATAAAAGCCAAAGGACAAAGAAATATTCAGCAATATGAGAAAATAACTGTCAACCTATAATTCCTTAGCCAGCAAAATGATCCCTCAAAAAATGAAGGTAAAGTAATAAATAAATCTGAGGAAGTTTACTGTCATTAATTCCTGTATGCATTTTTTATTGCTACATCACAAATTACTACAAACTCAGTGGCTTAAAAGAACACATGTAGCCCTCCCAGTATGGAGTAGTTGAGCATCCATCTAGGAACCAGGAGGTCTCAGTTGCATTCCCAGTCAAGGAATATGCCTGGGTTTCAGGCTCAATCCCCAGTGTGGGGTATACAGGAGGCAGCCAACCAATGATTCTCTAACATCATTGATGTTTCTATTTCTTCTTCTCCCTTTATCTCTGACATTATATTATATATATGAAGGCCGGTGCACGAAGATTCATGCTAGAATGGGCTTTCATTTCCTTGGCTGCCGGCACCGCCTTTCCACTCTGGCCCAACCCCTTTCCACTCAGGCCCCAGAGCCACCTCTTTCCTCTCTGGCCCCTCCTTCCCATGAGGCCCTGAGAAACCGGGGGTAGGGCAGAACACCTGCGTTGTCGCCATGGTGACGATGCAAGTGTCTCACCCGACACTCAGCAGCTGAGTATGCAAATTAACCACCAGCTTTGTTGGATTAATTTGTGTATCACTCCTGATTGGCTGGTGGCATAGGGAGGTATGGTCAATTTACATGTTACATGTTTGCCTATTATTAGGTAAGATACCGTGTGTGTGTGTGTGTGTGTGTGTGTGTGTGTACACACTCTAGAGTCCCAGTGCAGATTCATGTACCAGTGGGGTCCCTCGGCCTGGCATGTGGGGATTGGGCCAAAACTGGCTCCTGACATCCCCCAAGGAGTCCCAGATTACAAGAGGATGGTTCTCGGGTGGCATATCCCAGAATCAGGCTCCCTCCTCTCTGGTTCCAGGTGTGGCATCTGAGAATTGCAGTTATCAAGTCACCGCAGCTCGGCAGCTCCTGCGTTGAGCATATGCTCCCTAGTGGTCAGTATGCATCATAGGTACTGAACAGTTGGAGGGTCAGATGGTCACACTAGAGGCCTGGTGCATGAAATTCATACAGAGGGGGTGGGTCCTCAGCCCGGCCTGCACCCTCTCCAATCCAGGACCCCTCGGGGGATGTCTGACTACTGGTTTAAATTGGCATTTGGACATCCCTCTCGAAATCCAGGACCATTGGCTCCTAACTGCTCACCTGCCTGCCTGATCACCCCTAACTGCCTCTGCCTGCCAGCCTGATTGCCTCCTAATTGCTCCCCCCTGCCAGCCTGATTGCCCATAACCACCTCTGACTCGGCCCCTGCCACCATGGTTTTGTCCAGAAGTACATCTGGAAGATGTCTGGCCTAATTAGCATATTACCCTTTTATTAGTATAGATACACACACACACACACACACACATATTGGCCCTCAGTTTCTGGTTCAGAAGTCTGAACACACGAAATTGGTTTGGCTCAGTGGATAGAGTGTCAGTCTGCAGACTGAAAGGTCCCATGTTCGATTCCGGTCAAGGACATGTACATTGGTTGCAGGGACATCCCCGGTGGGGGGTGTGCAGGAGGCAGCTAGTCGATGTTTCTCTCTCATCGATGTTTCTAGCTCTCTGTCCCTCTCCCTTCCTCTCTGTAGAAAAATCAGTTATATATATATATATATATATATATATATATATATATATATATATATATATATATATATATATATATTTTTTTTTTTTTTTTTTTTTTTTTTTTAAGAAGAAGTCTGGGCACAGGTTAGCTGACTCCTCTGGGACTATTTTTTTTTTTATTTTTTTTATTTTTAAATATATATTTTATTGATTTTGTACAGAGAGGGAGAGAGATAGTTAGAAATATCGATGAGAGAGAGTCATCGATCAGCTGCCTCTTGCACACCCGCTACTGGGGATATGCCCGCAACCAAGGCACATGCCCTTGACCGGAATCGAACCCGGGACCCTTCAGTCCCCAAGCCGACGCTCTATCCATTGAGCCAAACCGGTTTCGGCTCCTCTGGGACTTTAGAGTCTCACCAAGCTGAAATCAAGCTGTCTGTCATCAAAGGCTGTAATCTCATCTGGGTTTTAGGTTCACTTCAAAACTCACTGATTATTGGGAACTGTAGTACTGAGGTCGTAATTCCTTGGGGCTATGTGGCCACCTCCAAAATGTGAGTTTGCTTCTTTCATTGTAAACAAGAGGATCTCTGACTTCTGAGAAGGTCCGACACTTAAAAGGCTCACCTGATTAGGTCAGGCCCGCCCAAAATAATCTCCCCTTTAACACAAAGCCAACTGATTACGAACTTTAATTACTTCAGCAAAATCCCACTTTTCAGGTATATAACATAATCACAGGCATGAAATGTCATCATATTCACTAGTTCTGCTCACACTCAAGGGGAGAAGATTACACAGAATGTATACACAGAGGGTATGAATCTTAGGGGCATCTTAGAATTCTGTCTTCCACAAATCCTCATTAAAGGGACTTTTAAAGAATGTACTTTGAATAGAAGGAAAATAACCCCAGATGGAAGATCTGAGACACAAGAAAGAAGAATGAACAAAGAAAATATTAAACATATAGGTAAAGCTACACAAATTTCAACTCTATAAATAATAGCAATATATCTGATTTGTGATATTAACAAAATAGCAATATAATTAAAGCACAAAAGCATACAAACTCAAAGGAAATAATGTTGAAGAACTCTAGATTGTGGGTCTTAGAGGATCAGTCAGTCTTGTTTAGGTTTGCTAGTTTGACTGAGGTATTCCAGAGGCTTTGGGCCATCTGAGGATCCTGAGCAGCTTCAGGGGGAGAAGTTATCACACAGGAACTGCTAAAATATTTTCCAGAAACACCGTCTAGCTCCTTTGCCAAGCTCAGGTAGAGAACTGGGTTTGCACCTTCTATAGGATCCTGTGGAAACACCGAGAGTGGGGGCTGAGGGGAAGGATGGGCTGTCTCACCAGACAGGCTTCAGCGGGCTGGGGACGCTGAAAAGTAGAGCCCTCCACCACCCTCTTCAAGCCAAACCAGCTCCTCCTCTACCCACCTTAATGAAGAAGCTGGAGATCCAGAAGGAGAAGCGGAAATACCACGGTAATTGCCTCATGATGTCCGTGTACACATAGCCTGGTTCCACAGAATTCACAGTCACACCTGAGAAGGTAAGGCAGAAGCATGATGCAAAGCAAAGTGAAAGGATGATGGGAAGAAAGGATGGAGTGTGTTTCTGCAACATGCAAGGAGGGAAGGATCCCACCAGGTCTGTTGGGTAAAGGTGACCAGAGACTTGGGGGTAGTGCTCTGCAACTTACATGAATGGTGCTACCCAAGCCAGTAAGGAGACACAAGTATTTGGAAATGATGAGTTAACTTTAGGAGGAACATGATGTATGGTGTTGGTATTGGAAAATACTGAGAGAAGAGGGGTGTTACGGTGATAAGAGAATTGAAAAAGGTTGAAAAAGACATGAGGACAGGGTTGAGAGAACTATTGGAGTACAGGTGGTAAGTGCAAGAACTTAACAGCTGGATTGGGGGATATTGGAAGTATTTTATGGCCAAGACATGTTGAATATTTTATGGCCCAAGACAAAGGATTGGGAGTGGAGGAATAGAGGGTGTCAGAGGTAGTTACCTGTCCCTTGAAGTCTCCGAGCAAATTCCCCAGTGATTGAGGTCAAAAGCAGTTTGCTGCAGTAATAGTTTTGGTTGAAGGTCAAAGGTCCACCAGCCCCTGTCAGATGTTCCTCATCAAAGTACCCATGTGTTTGCCAAGCGGAAGAAATATTTATCACCCGAGCTGACCCTGCCCGTTGTAGCGCTCCTGGGTAGAGAGAAGACCACATTCCTTCAGTCTAAGTCCTAGTGTCAACTCCCATGCCCACATCCCAGGAGAGCAGGCCCATCCAGCACTTCAGGAGCGGGCTCCCCACCCCCACCCCCACCCCAGGCACCAAGGCTAGCCACAGGGGAACTTAATGGGAACAGAGACTTCACTTTCATCAGCTGCTTTCCTAACACACTCTTCCTCTTCTATTTTAGTATTTAGTGCTTTTCTTCTATTTGCTAGCTGGAACTAATTTAATTGATCCTTATTTATGTTTGATGACGCTGACCACTAAGAGGGGAAAAGGAGAGGATGGCCCTAGCTGGTTTGGCTCCGTGGTTAGATCATTAATCTGTGGACTGGAAGGGTTGCAAGTTCGATTCCAGATCAAGGGCACATGCCTGTTGTGGGTTCCCCAGCCCCAATAGGGAGTGCATGTGGGAAGCAACCAATCGATGTCTCTCTCTCTCTCTCTGTCTCTCTGTCTCTCTGTCTCTCTCTCTCTGTCTCTCTCTCTCTCTCTCTCTCTCTCTATCTCTCCCTTTTCCCTCCCTTCCACTCTCTCTAGAAATCAATGAATAAAATATTCTTGGGTGAGGATTAAAGAAGAAAGGAGAGGCTAGACACACTGTCAGAGTTGTCTATCATGTATTCATACACTCATTCATTCCATAAATATTCATTAGGCCCCTGGTTTGTGACAAACACCAGATGGGTGCTAAGGATATAAGAGCACTAGGTTTGGGGGGAAAGAAATATGCAGATACCTGGAAAAGTAGTTTAAAAAAAAAATAACACTCTCTCAAAGGAACAAAAATAAAATTATAATCAATAAAACAAGTTAAATCTTTTTTTAAAAAAATGAGTATTAGCCCTAACTGGTTTGGCTCAGTGGATAGAGCATTGGCCTGTGGACTCAAGAGTCCCAGGTCCAATTCTGGTCAAGGGCATGTACCTTGGTTTCAGGCAGATCCCAGTGGAGGGTGTGCAGGAGGCAGCTAATTGATGTTTCTCTCTTATCAATGTTTCTAACTCTCTCTCCATCTCCCTCTCTGTATAAAAAATCAATAAAATATATTTTAATAAATAAATATTAACTACACACAAAAAAAAGTCTGGATTATATAAATTATGAAAAACAGTAATTGTCACATGAGTTTACAGTATTGTTTTTTAAATGCTCAAACTATTTTGAGCCCTACATTGAAATGAAGAATCACAAATAACAATTTGAACAGATTCTATTTAGCCAAAATTTGCTGGAGAGAAAATTATTCTTAAAGAGGACAATAGACCCCAAACTTGCAGACAACCTAGATAATAAAAGGCTAATATGCAAATCACTATGATGCACACTGATCACCAGGGGGCAGCTCCTGCATTGAGCATCTGCCCCCTTGTGGTCAGTGTGCTCCCACAGCAGGAGCACAGCTCAGCCAGAAGCCCTGAGCCAGGCTCACAGCTGGTGAGTGCAGTGGCAGCCCTACGGATGTCTGACTGTTGGCTTAGGCCCACTCCTTAAGCCTTCACTCAGACATCCCCCAGGGCTCCCAGACTGCAAGAGGGCACGGGCCAGGCTGAGGGACCCCATTAAGTGCATGAATTTTGTGCACTAGGCCTATAGTCGTGACATAAAAAACAAAGGGGCTCACAGCCTAGTTGGAGACTGATCCCCATGAAGCAATGTTAGTTTGAGAACAGAGATGTACACAAGGGGTTTAGGGGATCCCTGATAATTGGGGGTAGCTGGAGAGTTGGAGGTGTCAAGGCAGGATCCATAGCACAGACTATATATATGCTGAGTCTTGGCAGATGAACTAAAGTTAGCCAGCTAAAGTTAAGGGAGTGGGAAAAGATGTCCCAAATAGAGGAAAACACAAACAGGGGGGGGGGGGGGGGGGGGGCGGGGAAATAGAGTGTGTTCCAAGATCTACAGATGGTCTGGCTGGAGATTGGGAGTGGGGAGAGGAGATTAAGGAAGGGCAAAAAGGAAGGTTCTCAGTCTTGTAAGTAAAAAGAAGAGAGTTAGAGTTTATCCTATAAAGGACAGAGTACCTTCAAAAGGTTTTAAGCAAGAAAGTGATATGGCTAAAGGTGATTTCTAGAGGTGGCAGAAGGGAGAATAGATTATACTAAAAGGGGAAAGACAAACAATTTAAGAAACCGTTACTTAGGAACACAATTTAGGTTGCCACCTGAATCTCTATATTCCAGGCTGGAGCAACTTTTGCTCAAATAAGTGCTTTTTTATAAAAAAGAAAAAAACACTAATACTGAGGAAGGTGCAACCACCTTGTTACAATTTGGGGGAAGAGTGGGAAAATATTCATACTCAAAAGTGCATAGAGTTTTGCCTTGCTCTTTGTTCAATTTCCAATTGGGCTAATGCAATCAGCCACTAAAGGGTACGGGAGAGCCTGACAATAGTAGTTACCTCCAAGGAGGGAAATGGAAAGTTGATTTTCAAGGAGAGGAGGAGATTTTTTAACTTATTTTTTTCTTTCACTTATGCCATAGGAGCACATACTGATTTTAGAGAAAGGGAGAGAGAAAAAAACATCAATTTGTTCTATTTATTTATGCATACATTGATTGCTTCTTTTTTAAAAATAGGTTTTTATTTTTTATTTTTTTTAAATATATTTTATTGATTTTGTACAGAGAGGAAGGGAGAGAGATAGAGAGTTAGAAACATCGATGAGAGAGAGTTATCAATCAGCTGCCTCTTGCACATCCCCTACCGGGGATATGCCTGCAACCAAGGTACATGCCCTTGATCGGAATCGAACCCTGGACCCTTCAGTCCCCAAGCCGACGCTCTATCCATTGAGCCAAACCGGTCTTGGCTAAAAATAGGTTTTTATTGATTTTTAGAGAGAATGGAATGGAGAGAGAAAGATAGATAGATAGATAGATAGATAGATTGATAGACATCAATCAGCTGCCTCCTATTCTAAAGCCCCCTCCTGGGGATTGAGCCACAACCCAGGTATGTGCCCCAACTGGGAATCAAACCAGTAGCCTTTTGGTGCATGGGACAATGCTCAAGCAACTGAGCCACACCAGCCAGGAGGGCTCAGTGGTTGCTTCTTGTATGTGTCCTGATGGGAGATTGAACTCACAACGTTGACATAATAGGATGACACTAACCAACTGAACTATCTGGTCAGGGCCAAGGAAACTTTTTAACTTTATATATATATATATATATATATATATATATATATATATATACACCCTTTTATACACTTTAATTTTGTATTTTAGATATATATTACCTGACTAAAACAACACAGGGAAAGACTTGTATCGATGCATGTAAACATAACCAATGGATACAAGACATTGGGGGGGGAGGGGAGTAAAGGCATATGGGGGGGGGGTAGGGGAGGCTGGGGAGAGGTCAAGGGGGGAAAAAGGAGACATATGTACTACTATTTGTAATCCTTCAAACAAACAAACAAACAAACAAACAAACAATAAATAAATAAATAAATAAAGTAAAATAAATAAATAAATTTTAAAAAACACAGGAAAATATGTTATGGAGAATTTGCCTGCCACCCATTTCCCCCCACCTCCCCAGGAGAACCTCAAACCTCATTAATAAGAAAGAATTAAAAATTCAGAAAGTCAACAGACTTGGACCCAAGGCAATGAATTTTTGGCTGTCATCTCTAGTGGCCCCAGAAGCTTCTTGGTGTTTATGTTCCCTGTGACCTGCTGCCACCCTCAGGAAGCTTTGGTTGAGATGACTGACTCTTCTGGTCTGACTGGAATTCATAGCTGAGGGAGGGAGAAGTGGGATCTTATATCCTCTTGGTTGTATTTTGGACTGTCTGATTCCTTTACCAGAATTCTAATCCTAACTTGTGTCAGATGGTTACCCTGATATGTGCCAAAGGAAAGGAAGCTGCCAGGAAAATGCCAGGGGAATGGAGAAGCAGAGATGACATTTCCTTACCTTGCAGTAGATTTGTGAGCAGAAAGGGCCCAACATAATTGGTGGCAAAGGTGAGGTCAAGGCCCTCTGGGGTTAGTGTCGTAGGGATTCCTGGAAGGAAATGAAAACACATGAAGTGGATGATAGAGCAAATATACTGAGGGAGACAGAGTCTAGGGTGATATATTGGGGTTCAATAGAAATGTCATAGGAGCACGTAGATGCAAAAATGAGGCAATTAAACGTGAGGCTATAACATGAGGCAGGCTCTTCAGGGCTGTGTATGAACTAAGAGTGTTTCAGCAGGGTGCACAGGCTAGGCTTTGTGGTCCCTGATCTAGAAAGGAGTCTCCTAAAATGTGCTTGGGGGAAGCATGCCCAGGCACATACCACAGACTGCAGCATTGTTCACCAGCAGGTGTATCTCAGGACACTCTTGTAGAAGCAACCGGACAAAGCTCCGGATGGAGGCCATAGAGCTCATGTCTACATCCCAGAGCAGAAGGCAGGCGTCCTTACAGGCTGCTTGTATCTCAGCCAAGGCTTGCTGTCCACGCTTTCGGTTACGGCAGGCAAGGATCACCCTGGCCCCACGGCGGGCCAGCTCCTGGGACACAACCCTTCCGATACCTGTGGGAGGACAGCTTCAGAGTAGTTCCAGTCTGGGAAGTGACTAGAGGGTAAAGGAGCAAGAGGGAGGGACAGAGGTGTTGGCAGTGGGTGCTGTTTCTCCCCCCTGCCCTCCCTGTGAAGACTGTTGGGGCTGAGACCCCTAGTGAGGTGATGGGGTGGAAGGAGCACTCACCACTGTTGGCCCCAGTCACCACTGCCGTCTTCCCAGTTAGATCTGTGGAGCAGTGCTGGAGGTCCCAAAGCTGAGTCCTATGCCAGAGCCGCACACTTAGTCTAAACAGGTAGACCAGAAGGAGGAGGACAGAGCCACGGCCCAAGATCAGGGTGCTGAGTAGAGACCACAGTGACATAACAGATGACTGGCCTACTACCCAGAGTGGGAAGAGAATTTGAGAGAGTTAGTCAATGCTGAGTGGACAGCAATAAGGCTAGCGTGGAGCCCAAGATGCAAAATTTAAGGAGGCACTCTCACATTTGTTCAAGCAACCCATCTGAACCTAAGAGAGAGTTCCCCCTTATAAATTGTGTGACCTAAGCACTTGATTGCCTCACCTCCAATCAAAAATTAACAGAAGGGCTTTCCCTGAGCCTTAAACCCTGCCAAGGCTCAAATCTGTCTCTGAGCCAAACTTGGATTTGCATCTAAAGTGAACTGACAAACCAAACAAACTGCAGTTCCGGTCAGACAGCTCCAAAACCTCCAAACCACAAGCAAAGAGGAAAAAACTGTTGTTCTCACTGTAGCTCCTGCTGGGTGGCCTCAGACAATAGCTGACCTGCACCCCATTGGAGATCCAGAAGCTAGTGTATCTAGTGGTCTGTGTGAGACGACACCAGATTTCAACTACTCTCATAAGGGACACATTCAAGAGGCAGACTCAGTGAGCACCAAAGCCCCACTGAAACAACTCCTGCCCCATAAGCATGTCTCCAGCACAGCAATTCTTCCATTATAGACACAGCAGGTCCTCACAGCCAATTCCTCCCGGTGACTCTAACAACAATCAACTTAACTACAACAAGGCTGTATACACAGTCCACAAAGGAGTGCACCAAGAGTGTCCATCTCAGATAACTGGGAGGCCGACCAACTGGACCATATGGGACACCTAGCACACAAAGCCACCCTACCAACTCAGGGAAGCAGCGAAAATGAGGAGACAAGGAAACAGATCACAAACTAAAGAAATGAAGGAGAAAAACTGACAGGACACAGAGTTCAAAACTACAGTTATAAGGTTTTTCAAGAATTTCCTAGAAAAGGCTGAAACCGGTTTGGCTCAGTGGTAGAGCATCGGTCTGCAGACTGAAAGGTCCCAGGTTCGATTCTGGTCAAGGGCATGTACATTGGTTGCGGGCATATCCCCGGTAGGGGGTGTGCAAGAGGCAGCTGGTCAATGTTTCTCTCTCATCAATGTTTCTAGTTCTTATCTCTCTCCTTTCCTCCTCTCTGTAAAATATCAATAAAATATATTTTTTAAAATAAAATAATAAAAAGAAAATCTTTAAAAATAAAAAATAAAAAAGAATTTCCTAGAAAAGGCCAATATGAAAAAGGACCAACTAGAAATTAAACATACACTGACTGAAATAAAAAATATCATACAGAGACCCAACATCAGACTAGAGGAATGCAAGAATCAAGTCAAAGATTTGAAATATAAAGAAGCAAAATACACTCAACTGGAAAAACAAAAAGAAAAAAGAATCCAAAAAGTTGAGGATAGTGTAAGAAGCCTCTGGGACAACTTTAAGAGTACCAACGTCAGAATAATGGTGGTGCCAGAAGAAAAGAGAGAGCAAGATACTGAAAACCTATTTGAAGAAATGATGACTGAAAACTTCCCCCACCTGGTGAAAGAAATAGACGTATAAGCGCACAGAACCCCAAACAAAAGGGATCCAAAAAGGACCACACCAAGATACATCTTAATAAAAATCATATAGTCATATCAATTGATGCAGAAAAAGCATTTGATAAAATCCAACACCCTTTCCTGATAAAAACTCTCAACAAGGTGGGAGTACAAGGATCATCCTTCAACATAATAAAAGCTATATATGATAAACCCACAGCTAACATCATACTCAATGGGCAAAAACTAAAACCATTCCCTCTAAGAACAGGAACAAGACAGGGATGCCCACTCTCACCACTCCTGTTTGACATAGTACTGGTAGTACTAGCCATTGCAATTAGACAAGAATAGGAAATAAAAGGCATTCAAATTAGAAAAGAAGAAGTAAAGTTATCCTTATTTGCAGATGACATGATATTGCACATAAAAAAAACAAAAGACTCCATTAAAAAACTAATTGACTTACTAAAGGAATTTGGCAATGTAGCAGGATACAAAATTAACGCCAAGAAATCTATGACATTTCTATATACCAACAGTGAACTTACAGAAACAGAGACTAAAAAAGCAATTCCATTTTCCATCACACCAAAAAAATTAAGATACCTAGGAATAAACTTAACTAAGAAAGTAAAGGACCTATATGCGGAAAACTACACGACACTGAAAAAAAGAGATAGAGGAAGATGTAAATACAATAGATGGAAGAACATAGTATGTTCATGGATTAGTAGAATCAACATCATCAAAATATCCATACTTCCCAAAGCAATCTACAGGTTCAATGCACTCCCCATTAAAATACCAACGGCATATTTCACTGATCCAAAAAGAACTCTCCAAAAGTTTATTTGAAACAATAAAAGACCCCAAATAGCCACAGCAATCCTGAGAAAGAAGAGTAAAGTAAGAGGGATCTCAATACCAGACTTCAAACTGTATTACAAAGCCACTGTTCTCAAAACAGCCTGGTACTGGCACAAGAACAGACATATAGATCAATGGAATAGAATCGAGAACCCAGATATCAACCCAAATCACTATGCTCAATTAATATTTGACAAAGGAGGCACGAACATACAATGGAGTTTAGACAGTCTCTTCAATAAATGGTGTTGGGAAAATTGGACAGATACATGGAAAAGAATAAAACTAGATCATCACCAACTTACACCATACACAAAAATAAACTCAAAATGGATACAGGACTTAAACATAAGATGGGAAACCATAAAAATATTAGAGGCATCCATAGGCAGCAAAATCTCAGACATATGCCAAAAGAACTTCTTTACTGATACTGCCCCCAGGGCAATGGAAGCTAAAGAGAAAATAAACAAATGGGACTACATCAAAATAAAAAGCTTTTTTATAGCAAAAGAAACCCTCAACAAAACAACAAGAAAGCCCACTGTATGGGAGAACACATTTGCAAATGTTATCACTGATAAATGTTTAATCTCCAACATCTACAGACAGCTTATACAACTAAATAAAAGGAAGATGAATGATCCAATTAAAAAATGGGCAATGGACCTAAAGAGAGTGTTTTCAAAAGAAGACAGAAGGAAGGCCAAGAGGCACATGAAAACATGCTCAAAGTCACTAGTCATCTGAGAGATGCAAATCAAAACAACAATGCGGTACCATCTCACACCTGTCAGAATGGCCAACATCAATAAATCAACAAACGACAAGTGTTGGCGAGGTTGCGGAGAAAAAGGAACCCTCGTGCACTGCTGGTGGGAATGCAGACTGGTGCAACCACTGTGGAGAACAGTGTGGAGTTTCCTCAAAAAACTGAAAATGGAACTCCCATTTGACCCAGTAATCCCACTCCTAGGATTATATCCCAAGAAACTAGAAACACCAATCAGAAAGGATATATGCACCCCTATGTTCATAGCAGCACAATCTACAATAGCTAGGATTTGGAAACAGCCTAGGTGCCCATCACCAGATGATTAGATAAAAAAACTATGGTACATCTACACAATGGAATATTATGCTGCCATAAAAAAGAAGGAATTCTCATCATTTGCAGCAACCTGGATGGAACTGGAAACCATCATGCTGAGTGAAATAAGCCAGTCAATGAAAGAGGAACACTACAGGACCTCACTCACTTATGGATAATAAAGAACATTATAAACTGATGAACCAAAAGATAGATATAGAGACAGTAAAGCAACAAGCAGACTGTCAAATTACAGCAGGGAGGGGAGAGAGATCTGGGGAAGATAATAGATCAACCAAAGGACTTGTATACATGCATATAAGTACAACCAATGGACATAAAACTCTGGGGAGAGAGGGTATGAATGGGAGGGAGGGAGGGGGGCAAAAAAAATCAATAAAATATATTTTTTTAAAAATAATAAAATAAAACAAAATAAAATAAAAAAATAAAATGCCAAGAGCAAAAGACAAAGAAAGAATATTAAAAGCAGCAAGAGAAAAACAATTAGTTACCTACAAGGGAGCACCCATATAATAGTCAGCTGATTTCTCAACAGAAACCATGCAGGCCAGATGAGAGTGGCAAGAAATATGCAAAATGATGAATAGCAAGAACCTACAACCAAGATTACTCTACCCAGCAAAGTTATCATTCAGAATTGAAAGTCAGATAAAGAGCTTCACAGATTAAAAAAGCTAAAGGAGTTCATCACCACCAAGCCAGTATTATATGAAATGCTGAAAGGTATTCTTTAAGAAGAGGAGGAGGAAGAAAAAAGTAAAGATAGAAATTATGAACAACAAATACATATCTACCATCAAAATGAATCTAAAAATCAAGTGAATTAAAAATCTGAGGAACAGCTGAAACGGGTTTGGCTCAGTGATTAGAGCGCTAACCTGCGGACTGAAAGGTCCCAGGTTCCATTCAAGTCAAGGGCATGTACCTTGGTTGCGGGCACATCCCCAGTAGGGGGGTGTGCAAGAGGCAGCTGATCGATTTTTCTCATCAATGTTTCTAACTCTCTATCCGTCTCTCTTCCTCTCTAAAAAAAAAAAAAAAATCAATAAAAAATATATTTTAAAAATCTAAGGAATAGAATAAACTGGTGAATATAATAGAATCAGGCGCACATAATGGGAGGGGATTTATAGTTCTCAGGGGGAAAGGGGCGTGGGAGGTACAGGAAGACACTGGACAAAAATCGTACGCCGGCTGGCCTGCCATCTTGCTCCCAGGGGCAGTTGGCGGGAGAGATCGCGCCCCCCTCCGGCCGCCGGCTCGCCTTCAGCCGGGATTTCTCGCGGCCAGTTTCTCGGCGTCCGCTCTGCTCTCGGCCCGGAGTCCGTGTGTTGGCGTCCTCGTCGCCCTCCTGTCACCCGGCCGGGGCACAGCGACGCGGCCCCCTCTCCGACGGCGTTCCCTGGAGTAGGGTCGGGACCGTTGTCCCAAAGAGCGATCGAGCTTGGCCCCCCTCCCTTCCTTTCCCCTCCCTCCTTCCTTCCGCTGCAACACGGCTGACCACAGCCCCGCGCGGACAGGCGGCTCGCAGCCGGCGCTCTCGGGCAAGCAGGGCAACGAGAAGACCGTGAACCTCAACCCCATGATCTTAACCAACATCCTGTCGTCGCCTTACGAATTATTTACTCTGAAGTTAACTCGAAAGCAAGTGATGGGTCTCATAACACACACAGACTCTCCATATATTAGAGCCCTCGGATTTATGTACATAAGGTACACTCAGCCCCCTACAGATCTGTGGGATTGGTTTGGATCCTTCCTCGATGACGAAGAGGACCTAGAGGTGAAGGCTGGCGGAGGCTGTGTAATGACCATTGGAGAAATGCTGCGGTCTTTTCTCACAAAACTGGAGTGGTTTTCTGCCTTGTTTCCAAGAATCCCAGTTCCAGTTCAGAAGAATATTGATCAACAGATTAAAACCCGGCCTCGGAAAATCAAGAAAGATGGGAAAGAGGGCGTTCAAGAAATAGACAGACATGTCGAACGCAGGCGTTCAAGATCTCCAAGGAGATCACTGAGCCCGCGGAGGTCCCCAAGAAGATCAAGAAGTCGAAGCCATCATCGGGAGGGCCATGGGTGTTCTAGTTTCGACCCAGAATTAGAGAGAAAGAACTCCAGCGCCTAGATCGCGAAGCCAAAGACAGAGAGAAAGGCGACGATCCCGGAGTATTGGTCGGGGCTTAGATCGAAGGCATAACAGTAGGGAAAGGCATAGAACTCGGAGTCGGAGTCGTGAAAGGAAAGGAGATCGGGAAAGAGAAAAAGAAAATGAGAGGGGTAGAAGGCGAGATCGTGACTATGACAAGGAAAGAGGTAATGACAGAGAAAAGGAGCGAGAGTGATCAAGAGAGCGGTCCAAGGAGCGGAGAAGTAGGGGCGAGGTGGAAGGAAAAAAAAACATAAAGAAGACAAAGATGATAGGCGGCACAGGGATGACAAAAAAAGATTCCAAAAAAGAGAAAAAACACAGTAGAAGCAGAAGCAGAGAAAGGAAGCGTAGGAGTAGAAGTAGGAATGCAAGGGAAACGGAGCAGAAGCAGGAGCAAAGAGAAATCCAGTAAGCACAAGAGCGAAAGCAAGGAGAAGCCCAATAAGCGAAGTCGGAGTGGCAGCCAAGGAAGAACTGACAGTGCGGAAAAGAGAAAATGGGAGCGGAGCCCCAGCAAAGATAAATCTAGAAAGCGGAGCAGCAGCAAAGAACGTGCCCACAAACGGGATCCCAGTGAAGGCAAGGACCAGTGTGCCAAACAGGATGAGCGAAGGAGCCAAAGCGCAGAACCAGAGAGCCAAGAAAAACAAAAAAGCAAAGACGAGACTGTGTGAACATGCTTTGTGAAAGTGGATCACATTGAACCTGTAAATCTTTGATTAAATCTGCTTTTTCTCCCTCCCGAGTTGAGATTGTTGCAGTAGTATGTACTCTTCAAGCTCCCTTAGACTACATTTTCATTTCCTCTGTTATGTAGGGAATTGCCTTTGTAATTCTATTTATTGCATTGATGTTTTCACCCAATTGTTGAGTTTGATACATGATGCACAGATTGTTCTTGCCTAATTACTGTTTAGTTTTTTGAGATGTACAGTCTGTACATATGTCCTGAAAGTGTTTTAATTTCTTTGGCATGGTTGCCATATTGGTTAAATTTGTATAAGGCAATAAACTGCCATTAATTCTATTTTTGTTCTGTAGGTGTGGGATTATGGTTTGTATACTGAAGTTTAGCATGGCTGTGCTTTTCGTAATAGAATGCTGAAGACTTTGGGGGGGAAAAATCGTACACCTTTGGATGAGGACAGTGGGGGAGGTAAGGGTAGAGTTTGGAGTGGGAACAGGGTGGAGGGGAGCTATGGAGGGGAAAAGGAGAAACATAATAATCTGAACAATAAAGATTAAAATTTTTTAAAAAGTGAACTGACAGAGCTCCAAGGAGTAGGAAAGCAAGAAACCAAATTCCTCATGTCTTGAATCACTCTGTGCCCAAGCAGGGCCACCCCCTTGCTCCCCAACTGATAGGAAACTACGTTCTCCCAACTGAGGTAGACCCCACTTGTAGCTGTTACATCCCTATCTGCTCTTCTATGAGGAGAGATGGTTCTCCAGAATTCTGCTGGAGAGTGGCCTTGGCCCTGAAGCAGGGTCTCCTATGGATGCAGTGGGTTTACTCCCTGGACCCAGTGTTCTATGTTCTTCTAGGCCTGCCAGGACCACTGCTCCTCTCCAGCTCAGTGAGAACACGGATCTTGGGAAGGAGCTGACAGAGATACCAGGCCAATTCCTAAGGCAACTCAGGTGTTTATTGTTGGCAAGCAGAAAGAAGGCGGATAGGATTCCCACTGGCTGAGGTTCAGGGCTCAGAATGGGGCAGGACCCTGGAGGGGAGCGACTATACTTTGGGGCTTGAGTTCTTCATTAGCTGTGCCCTGGTCACCTGGGCTTCTGTCTGGATGGGGCGCATCTCAACGGAAGGAGAGGTACAGTCTTTTTTGTCCTCCTTCTGGGGTGTGCCAGACCTGAGCAGCACCTGTGTGGTTGGGTTCCACATGCTCACACCAGGAGCCAGCTTCAAGGCTTCCGGCAGCAACACTGGCTGCCACATCACCTGGGATGTGGCCTTGAGGACTTGGGGTTCAAGATAAGACCACCTGCGAGGATCCTGGCCCTCCTGGTCCGGGGGGCCCTGCGGAGGTACATGGGTGCGGGCGGCCCACAGCTCTTCCAGCAACTCCGCCTCCCCTTCCCAGCCCCTAGGCCACTTTGCACCTGGCCAAGTGCAGGGGCTGGGGCTGCGGGCCATCTGGGAGAACTCCAGGTGCCTTTCAAAAAAGTGGCTTCCTGGGCCAGGTAAGAGCCGGTTTGACTGGGAGGCTGGTGGTGATGGGTCAAAGCTTAAAGGGGGAAGTTGGGGCCCAGGGTGCAAGGCAGGGAAAAGACCGCAGGGAGGACGTGGGTAGAAAGCTGCCCGGGGTACTTGGAAACTGGAACCAGTAGCTTGTTTGGCCGGGGCCTCTGTCTTCTTGACCCGGGGGAGCCTGCGGTAGATTTCCAGGGGTTGTACCTCGGAGTCTGGATCCACAACCTCAACTACTGGGCATACCCATTGGCTCGGCAGCACTGAGGCCTTGCGGCCGACCTTACGCGGATGCGTACTCAGCTGTGAGTCCAAGCACCAAGGCTGCAGGCAGGATTCGGAGGGGCTGGGTATGATGGAGTCCAAGGCTGTGTGGGACATCTCGTCCTTCTTGAGCACCTGCTCGCTTATGTCCCCGGTGTCAGGCGGTAAATAGAGGCCCTCCACTGAGAATTGGGAGCTGAGGGGCCGGGTGCTCTCTGCCGATTCCTGGGAGCTGCCTGCCAGGGACAACTCCAGAGAAGGGTGGGGACTCCCAGAGGGAGCTCTCTCTATCACTTGCTCCACAGATTCTGACAGCTGTTGGAGGCTTGGGTTCCTGGACTCTGCCGAAGATGGGCAGCCTCCTTCCTGGTTTTCCAATTCCTCTAAAGTCTCCGTGGGGCCTGCCTTCTGAAACAGCTCTGGGGTGGGTGGAGGGCTGAGGGTGTCTCTTGGCTTGGAGGATTCCACCTGCTCCTCAGAGCCTCCATCTATCAACGATCTTCCTACAGAAATCTGGTCTACGCTCTCTTGGTCCTGGGGAAATGCACCAGAGGTGGGGGTGGAGGTAGACAGTGAGAGGTCAGAAAGGGGAGAGGGGAACTGAGGGTGGAGAAATCTTGGAGAGGCCGTAGGGAAAAGGAGGATGCACTAGGGGCAGGGGTGGGGGTCAGATGCAGCTGGGGGCTTACTTCGCTTTGGAAGGAGTCCTCCAACTTCACCGAAGCTGGTTCGTGCAGCAGGGGCACAGATCCCTGAGCCCAGGCATCCGTTCTGCATGCCAAGGGCTCCTCGTCCTCTCCCCAGGTGGGGTCCTCAGCCACTGCAGACTCTCCCTCATCTCGAGCCAGGAAACGCCACTCGATGATCTGCAGCATGGCCTCCCGAGCCTGGTTGATGGTGAATGGGATGCACTGCAGAAGCGAGGGAAGGTCTCAGCCAGGCAGGAAGGCGTGGGAGAGGGGGTAGATGGGTTTGCAGGGCCCAATCCAGGCTCACCTGCTGGGTCAAGTAGACTTTGAAGGCGGAGTCCATGACACGCCCCAGCAAATCTGCCAAGACGTCCCCTACCACGTCCTCGCCCTCCTCCACCATGGTGAGCAGCATCCACTCAGCCTCAGTAAGCCGCCCGGGAACGATGTCCACCTGCGGCACTGGCACAGTAGGCGGCCGTGTCTTTTCTGTCTTGGATCTGGTCGCCCCACGATCTCGGACCTGCCTCTGTGGGAAAGGAGCAGGGCAATCAGGGCAGGAAACGGAGGAGTGGACAAGAGAAGCAGCTACAGGCCCAGAGGAAGCTTTCTCAATTTGTCTAGTAGGAAGGAAAAGCCTTCTGAAAGGGACAATTAAAAAAATAAATAAATAAATAAATAAAAATTAAAATATATATATATAATTGATTTTTTACAGAGAGGAAGGGAGAGAGACGGAGAGTTAGAAACATCGATGAGAGAGAATCATCAATTAGCTACCTCTTGCACGCCCCCTACCGGGGATGTGCCCGCAACCAAGGTACATGCCCTTGACCGGAATCGAACCTGGGACCCTTCAGTCCGCAGGCTGACGCTCTATCCACTGAGCCAAACCAGTTTCAGCTGAAAGGGACAATTTACTAAGAAAGCCTACTATGTGACAGGTACTTCTCAGCTAATTTAATTTTCACAACAGCTCACTGAGCCCATTTCACAGACAAAGAAACTGAAGCTTGACACAAGTTAACCAGCACTTGCTTAGGATTCTGCAATAAACCCAGGCTGTATATGGCTCCAACTCCACAGGCCTTGCTATTTGCACTAGTCCAAAGTGTTCAAAGTTCTTGAGAGGAAAAGGACTTGACAGATGAGTCAATATATGGGTGCTGGAATAATTGGTGCTGTTTACAGTCTCCTCCTCCGCAAGTCAACTTAAATCCTTATTTTACAATATATAATACATCTAAATAACTTCTAGATGAATTAAAGGACACACACACACGCACACATACACAAACAAAAATATAAACAAAAAATAAAATGTAGGAAAAATAGGATAACTTGCCATATAATCTCTGGGTAAGAAAAAAACCAGTATATTCTTCAATTGCTTCCCTGTGGTACAATTGTCAAATTTTCCTGTACTTACTTTTATAAACTTTCTTTTTTCTAATTTACAAGCTGATATTAGTAATCATTTTCTGGCACTTATAATAGTTGCATACATTGTCTTGACTCAATTCCTACATTTTTTTAGACTTCACATTTTTATTTGCATTTTACAGAATTTGCCCAGATCACATAACAAGGAAGTAGTGATCATTTACATGCAAGTTTGACTTCAGAGCCTGACTGTATACTGCTTCTCAAACAAGAAATACAGGGAGGGGCAAAAGTAGGTTTACAGTTATGAGTACGCAGAACAGGACTTATTCATGTATTATTTATTTATTATCATATTATTTTCCATACGAACTGTAAACCTACTTTTGCCCCTTCCTGTATTTAATAGCAAATATTAAAAATATATATTCCTGCCCTGACCATTTTGGTTCAGTGGATAGTGTGTCAGTCTGTGGACTAAAAGGTCCCAGGTTCAATTCTGGTCAAGGGCATGTACCTTGGTTGCGGGCTCATCCCCAGTAGGAGGTGTGCAGGAGGCAGCTGATTGATGTTTCTCTCTCATTGATGTTTCTTAACTCTCTGTAAAAAATCAATAAAATATATATATTTTAAACATATATATATATATATATATATATATATATATATATATATATTCCTAAATATATTAAAACTCATATAAAATAAGAATGTCTGGCCGGTGTGGCTCAGTGGTTGAGCATCGACCTATGAGCCAGAGGTACAGATTTGATTTCCTATCAGGGCACATGCCCAGGTTGCGGGCTCGATCCCCAGTGTGGGTTGTGCAGGAGGCAGCCAATCAATGATTCTCTCTCATCATTGATGTTTCTACCCTCTCCCCCTTCCTTCCTCTCTGAAATCAATTAAATATATATATATAGTATATTTTTTAAGATAAAATCTAGGTCCCAAGTTTATTTCAGGACCTAGGCATTTACTACTAGATTCCTGGAAGCCTCCTCACTTCCCCATAAGAGTCTACTTGAACCTGATTCCCTCCAAAATTCACCTCAAATCTTTGCTTCCTCATCCCGCAACCTCACTAATATTACCTGATGTTCCCTAAAATTCTCCCTCAAATCTGATGTTTTCTAAACTTCACACTGGACTCAAAATCCCTTGAGCCTCATTTCTGCCACGGAGACCAGCCCTGGTGGTAAATCTAGAGAAGAGCCCAAAGACCAGCTCAAACCAGCGCAGGGCAGTAGTGCTGGGCAAGTCAGTTCTTTAGACTTCCCCTCCAAGCTTCTCTCTCTCTCTCTCTCTCTCTCTCTCTCTCTCTCTCTCTCTCTCTCTCTCTCTCTCTCTCTCTCTCTCTCTCTCTCTCTCTCTCTCCCTCTCTCTCTCTCTCTCTCTCTCTCTCTCTCTTCTTTTTAAATATATTTTTATTGATTTCAAAGAGGAAGAGAGAGGGAGAGAAACCGGCCTTCTCTTGCACGCCCCCTACCGGGTAATCAGCCCACAACATGACCATGTGCCCTGGACCGGAACCGAACCTGGGACCCTTCTTCAGTCCACAGGCCAAACCGGCTAGGACTCCAAGCGTCTCTTGTGCCTAGACGTGGCCTGACCAGAGGGGCCAGGGATAAACGTTACACAAAAGTTCTTCAGATGTTTTATTTTAAATTACCTTCTTTTAAAACAATTTGATTCTAGCAACTCCTCCCCCCAATCCCTGGCCACATTCCCGTTAATCCATTGAAATGGGGGCCTCGGTGAGAGAGACGTAATACACCCATTAGCTGTTTCTAAAGTAAATTTTTGCTCTTGGACTCTGCACCTCATTCGATTTTTCCCCTCAGCTTCTGATTGTGACAAAGCATGGGAGTGGGCATAGGGTTTTGTTGTTGTTGTTGTTGTTTTGTTGTTGTTGTTGTTTGCCCCCAAGTACCGACGTGGATGCCTGGGCCATCTTGAACGCCGGCGTGCTGGGCTGGCACCCGGTACCGTGGGGCCGGTCCAAGGTTCCCGACACCGACCTGGAAGGCCGATCCCGGCTCTGGCGCACCCCAGCTGAGCTCACCAAGCTTACCGAGCTTTCGTGTGCCATCGCTGCCGCGGTCTTCAGCCCCGAGGTTTCTACAGCTCCGGGCGCCGCGCCGCCTAACGGTCGCCCCGGCAACCACGCTGTGCGCTGATTGGCTCGTCCTCTCCGCTGTTGCCCCGACAACCGCGCCCCGCGCTGCTGGTTCCGGTGGTTCGCCCCGCCCACCGGCCTGCGTCAGTGCGTCGTCTCTATGGTGGCGGCGGATTCGGAGGGACCTAGGGATCCTGGAGTCAGGCAAGCCGCCCCTGGGGCTGCTGATGTGACCCCTCACCCAGGCTGGGGCTTTGGGGAGCCGACCCGAGGGTGGAAGGGCCTAGAGACTACCCTGCCGTGCCCCGCCTTGGCTCGGGCACTTGGGGCCGCTGGGTCCTGTGCCATCACCATTCCTCCCTCCTCCAGGGTCCCCCCAGCGTCCGTGACTCAGCCCTGGGGCTCCCTCCACTCTCTCGCTCCATGAGACCCAGCTCCAAGCCAGACCCCCCAGCACCGTCCCTGACCTAGGCTCAGGGGTCTCCCCATGACATCATGACTCCGTTTCAGGGGTCTCCCCCAGTGTCTTAGGAGAGCACCTGCCACCCTCCGGTGGGAATCATTGCCGTCTTCTGTTTACCCCTCAGCTTTTGGTGACTCGAGCGGCTCTCCCCCAGGATGTTCCGCCGGGAGCGTTCCATCCCTCTCAGAGGCTCGGCTGCCGCCCTGGGCAACAACCTCTGCGTGCTGCACCTGCCGGTCTGCAACCTCACACATTTCGGGGTCGTCCACGGGCCCAGCGCCCAGCTTCTCAGCGTTGCTCCTGAGGGTGTGCCCTTGGCCCAGCGCCAGCTCCACGCTAAGGAGGGGCCTGGACTGAGCTCCCCACTTATCACCCAGGTGAGGAAGGAGGTTGGAAGTAGTGTTGCTGAATCCAGTCCTAACCCCGCCCTTCCCTCTCCAAACCTCAAAGAATAGCCTTCCCTAACCCTCTGAATTTCTGCTCTTCCGAGTCATGCCTCCCGCTGACCGCTTGTCCCTACTCTAATCCCCCTCCCTCCAGGTCCACTGGTGTGCCCTCCCCTTTCGAGTATTGCTGGTGCTCACCTCCCATCGAGGAATACAGGTAAGAGGAGGACCTTCCTGCCCTCTCAGGCTAGAGCCTTCTCAGCCCTCCACGGACCCAAGGCTCCTCCGCACTGGCCTCTAAGCCCTCCCAAGTTTTACACATGCTTACGTAGCCCACTCTTCCTTATTTCTCATCTTCGTTCCTTCCATCTTTTTTAATATATTTTTTAAAACTTTTATAAGAGTTTGAACCAAACTTGCAGCATAAGCCAGGGAGCAAGATCTCAAATGTTCTCCTTCCTTCCATCTTTTTAAATTCCCAAGTACCGCCCTAGCTGGGTTGGCTCAGTGGATAGAGCATTGGCCTGTGGACTGAAGGGTCCCAGGTTCGATTCCGGTCAAGGGCACATGTGGCTCGATCCCCGGTAGAGGGTGTGGAGGAGGCAATCAATGATTCTTTCTCATCATTGATGTTTCTCTCTCTCTCCCTTCTCTCTGAAAAGAATAAAAAATAAAAAAATCCCAAGTACCTTCTCTAATATCTGCCCCTTTGTGAGCAATGTGACCTTGGGCAGTTGAACTGATCAGAGCCTCTATCCTCCTCTGTAAAGTAGGAATAAGTGGCCTATGCGGAAACTGGTTTGGCTCAGTGGACAGAGCGTCGGCCCGCGGACTGAAAGGTCCCAGTTTCGATTCCGGTCAAGGGCATGTACCTTGGTTGCAGGCACATCCTCAGTAGGGGGATTTCTTTTGAGAGCCAAATTTTTTAAACTCAAACTTCTTCTAATGCCACTTCTTCAAAATAGACTCGCCCAGACCGTGGTATTTTGTGGAAGAGCCACACTCAAGGGGCCAAAGAGCCGCATGTGATTCACGAGCCGCGGTTTGCCGACCACTGGGCTAAGGCTAACATGAATATATGACATCACTGCCCTTGCCTTCCAGATGTATGAGTCTGACGGCTCCGTCATGGTCTATTGGCACGCGCTGGACTCCCGAGATGCCTCTCCAGGTACCTGCAGGACTGGGTGTGGGTAGGGAGTGTTCGCTGGGCCTGGAAAAAGCACTATTTCTAATAATTTCCCCCTTTTAGACTCAACACAGGCTGTGTTTGCCCGAGGGATTGCTTCCTGTGGCCATTTCATCTGTGTAGGTGAGAGGCCCAAGGACAGGGCATTGGTGTGTGTGTGTGTGTGTGTGTGTGTGTGTGGCGGGAGAGAGGGTGGGGTACAGGGGTATAAAGGGGTGGGCTTCAGTCTGGAAGGTCTGAAGAAATTGTGGAGGGTTCAAGGGAAGGTGGAAGTGAGGGCGGGCAGAGACTCCAAAGAGCCATGGATGGGTTCAGAGGGGCGGGGTGAGGTAGAATAAGGGTAGTCATAGGGTGGGGAGGGGGGGGCAGGACTGTTGGGGCAGTGAGAGATTTTTTTGTTTTGTTTTTTTTTAAATATATTTTTATTAATTTTACACAGAGAGGAATTGAGAGGGATAGAGAGTTAGAAACATCGATGAGAGAGAAACATCGACCAGCTGCCTCTTGTACACCCCCACTGGGGATGTGCCCACAACCAAGGTACATGCCCTTGACCGGAATTGAACCCGGGACCTTTCAGTCCGCAGTCCGATGCTCTATCCACTGAGCCAAACCGGTTTCGGCAAGAGATGGGTTTGTTACTAAGTTTTCTGGGATGGAGGGAGCTCTGAGTGTGGTGGCTGGAGGCGCAGAAGGACTAGGACACACTGCTTTTGTAGGAATGTGGTCTGGCCGGGTACTGGTGTTTGACATCCCACTCAAAGGTCCCAACATTGTACTGAGTGAAGAGCTGGCGGCGCATCCCGCGTCAGTCACAGACATCGCCAGCGAGCCTGCCCAGGAACCTGTGAGTGCAAACCGCTTCTAATTCAGTGAGCCTGGGGTCCCTCCCCACCTTGGGAGGCAGGAGGCCTGAGTGACGTCTTGGCTCTGCCGCTAAGCAGCTGGGTGACTTCAGGCAAACTGCTACATTTTCCTAGGCTTCAGCAACCTCAGGCCCCGTGACGAAGCTAGAGATGTTTTACGTGGCATTTAAGTAGTTCACTAACACTTCTCAGTACTCATATGATTGAGGAGTTGGACAGATGGCTTCCAAGATGCTTTCCCGCTCTGACATGTGCAGCTTCCTTCTCTGGACTTGGGCAAGTCCTACACTCCCAGCACCACCCCCTCCAGGAAGTCTTCCCCCTATTCCAGCTCTCACTCATCTCCCTTAGCTGACCCCTGAATTGGTGCTGTCTTCTTGGGTTGCAAACCTTTTGAGAACGGGGTTTGTATTTCTAATTCATACTCTGCTGAATCTGGCCCAGAGCTGGGCCCATGGGCTGTGTTGGCTGCCTAGTGCTGGAGCCAAGGCCGAGCCTAGTTATAATTGACTGGCTTACCATAAGACCTCCAGAAGGCAGAACACTGTGGCCTCAGTTGCATCATCCATCTACCAAGTACAATTATATAATCCCTCCTAACACGTGTGTGTGTGGCAGGGAAGGGGTGGGGGGACTGTGAGGAATGCAAGGAAAGCATTCTGTGCTTCCTGAGGGAACCTTGTTTCCAGTGAGTGAGGGCTCCATGCATCTACTGCCTCCCTTCCCTGGACACAGGACCCAGCAGGGGAGAGGGAAGGGCTGACCCTGCCTTTCCCCTCAGGACTGCATGGCTGACGTGGTGACAGCAGATGACTCAGGCTTGCTTTGTGTCTGGTGGTCAGGTCCTGAATTCAAATTACTGACCCGGATTCCCGGATTCGGGTAGGTGAGGCAGAGGGGCTGAGGGCCTCCCGAAGCAGCTGCAGGGCGGGGAGTGGGCTCGGGTGTGGGGAGATCGAAGTGGGGCGTTGCCCTTGCAGGGTCCCGTGTAACTCCGTGCAGCTGTGGAAGGGGATCGTGGCCGCGGGCTACGGGAACGGGCAGGTGCGGCTGTACGAGGCCAGTACGGGAGCGCTGCACGTCCAGATCAACGCCCACGCCCGGGCCGTCTGTGCCCTGGACCTGGCTCCGGGGGTGGGCAAGGTCAGTCTGGTTCCCGGGACCGGGATGTTGAGAGGAACCCCCCAGGCTTGTCTTTGTCACTTGAAGCACTCCAACCTGGACCAGTTTGTCAGCACCTCTGACTCCCACTCATCCTCCTGCCTTTTTAAATAGCTCCTTTCTGCAGCCGAGGACACCTTTGTACACATCTGGAAGCTGAGCAAAAGCAGGGAGAGTGGCTGCACCGAGGTGGGTGTGGAGAGGGGGGCGGGCCAGCGTGGGGCAGCGGGCCCTGAGCAGCCCTCTCCTCCGCAGGTGGAGCACTGTCATGGGGAGTGTGTGCCTGACACCCAGCTGTGTGGTGCCCGGTTCTGTGACCCGTCCGGCAGCTCCTTTGCTGTGACTGGCTACGACCTCACCGAAATCCTGAGATTCAGCAGTGAGTGAGAACGAGAAGCCCTCCTTTCCTCCTGTGGTGTTTATAAAGTGCCTCCTCCACCTGGCCCGTGTCTGTTACTCAGTACCAAAGCCATCTTTCACAGCCGGGGAGCTAGGCTCCAGGGAAGAGGGGACGGGGCAGGCCCAGACCAAGCAGAGAGGCAGCCTGGTGTCAAGAGCCAGGTGAAGGCTGAAGGCTGCTGTTAAATAATTTTAATGCTTGATGGAGTCACAAGGAAGGCGTGTTCCTTCCCAGCGCTCTCCAGTGCCATCCTCAAAGCTGGTTAGTGCAGGAGGTAGGGCAGGGTTGGTTCCAGTTTTCTCCCAGGAAGGATTCAGGGGGTCCCAGCCAGCCCCGGGAATGAGTCCCTCAGCACCATGACAACCATAGCTTAAGAGGGGCCTCTGCTCCCCATCCCAACCTACCCCCAGTCCAGCTGAGGAAGGGAGGCCACGCCGGCCAGCCTGCTGCAGACGGCACCGCCTCCAGGGCCCAGTGCGCACGGGTCCTCTCCTCTCCTGGCCAGATCCCGTTGCCAGCACCGTTCTCACACCGGGGACTGGAGCCACGTGCGGGGGGAGCCTTTGCGGCCGAGGCCTCTAGAACGTGGGGATCGGTGCGGGGGGAGAGGGGCAACCAAGCGGGGGGCCTCAGCGGAGTGGTCTGGGGGCACAGCGTCCAGGGAGAATGTTCTGGGGCGTCCCCAGGACGGGGGGTGGGTCCGAGCTGGGGCCACTGAGGCAGGCGAGCAGGGGCGAGGCAGGGCAGGCTGGTCTGCAAACATGGCTAGCCAGGGTGGGGTCGTCTCCAGCCTCACGCCCTCCCGCTGGGCCAGGATGTCTGTCACTGCGGCGATGTCATCCAGAGGCTCAATAGCTGCGGCACCAGGAAGGGGTTGAGGGGAGGGGGCTAGTCAGAGCTTAGGTCTACCCAGCCCTGACCGTCACCTCTCACTGTAATAGGAGGAGAGCAAAGCCCGGATCTCAGCCGAGATGGCATTGTCCTGCAGGAGCAGCCCCTCACCTGGGCCCCCTGGCGCTCCAGGCTCTGATAAGACTGGGATACAGCGTGCAGGTGGACACAGATTGGGAGGGGGGACGTGGGTGAAGATATCGAGAGAGAAGGAAAATGAAAGCAGTGCCAGGCGAGTAAAAGCCAGAGGAAGAGACAGGAATCCGCATGCAGAAAGGGAAACAAAAGAAGAAGAAATTAGGAAGGAAATCCATGAAATGAATCTGGTCCTTTGGGGTTTTGTTTTGAACTTTGGTGGGAGTGGTTCTAAGAAGGTCGGAGGAAAGAAAGGGACAACAGGACTCACTGGGACTCGAGTCCCACAGCTCTGCCTCAGCCCAAAGTGCCTTCTGTCTGTTTCCATGACCTGTGTTCCCTCGCAGCCTCCAGCCCACTTCCCATCAGTCCCAGAGTACACACTCTCACTCACCCATCTCATGGTACAGGGACCGCTGCTTGGCCAGTGCCTGGGGGGGTTTCCGGGGAGCCGGGGTTTCAATTTTCATGATTTCATCACAGCACTGCTTCCACTGGCCTGAAGGGAGAACACTGGTTGGGGGTGGAGAGGGACAGGACTGAGGGCCAGGCTGCCCTCTCCCCTGCTACCTTTCCTTCCACATATTCCTGAAACAGAGGCCCACGGTAAGGAATAACAAACGCCAGTCCCTCCCCAAGGTCAGTCCAGCCCTCTGCTCTTACTCATGTCGAAGAACAGCTGCCACAGAGCTTCCATCCAGCTCTGCAGGGCTCCCCGGCTCTCTGCCTGAAGGGTGTGTGTCACCTTGTCCTCCCCATATCGGTTACTGATGCTCAGAGTGAAGGGCCGGCCTGTGGTCTGGTCCAGTTCCCCTGCCTGGACTCGAGTGTCCTGCAGGAGAGAAAAGGCATCCGCTTCCACCTCCAGAGGTCAGCAGTGACTTCAGGCGGGCCTGATCGTCCTGCCTTAGAGAGAGGAGCTTGCCCTAACGGGTTTGGCTCAGTGGATAGAGCCTAGCTAGGCCTGCAGATTTGAAGGGTCCCGGGTTCAATTCCGGTCAAGGGTACATGTGGGCTTGATCCCCAGTAGGGGGTATGACGGAGGCAGCTGATCAATGATTCTCATCATTGATGTTTCTCCCTTCCTCTCTGAAATCAGTAAATATATGTTAAAAAGAAAAAGAGAAGCTTGTTGGACATTCACCAAGCCCTCTCATTTGCCTCCTGCTGAGCTGAATGGGAAGGAATGGCAGGAAAGGCCTGGGGATGAGACAGATGGCCTTCAGTCAGGGGTAGAGGCACACAGAGACGGGAAAAGGGTGGGCAGGGGAAGGCACAGAGGCTGGCAGGAATGCTGAGGCCTGATGTCCCTCTGTTTCCTCCATAAACGTCAGCAGGAAAGCTAACAAAAGGGCTGGGGAACAGGGGGGCCCTGGATCTGGGAGAGGAAACCAGGAAAGGATGGAGTAGCTGCAAATTAGAATCTGAGGGGGAAGATGGAAGGTGGGTGAGAAATCTTAAACTGGTTACAGAACCCTCTCTGAGCACTGGCTGAGGCCGGTAGCTAGAAGGGACAGCCCTTTGCCAGGGATGCTGGTCGGGGAGATGGCCCCTCATCATCCCTGGCCCTGGAGCCGGGTGACGCTGTGAGGCCCAGAAGACTGGTCTTTCTAAGCTCTGCGCCCACCCTGGTGGGACCTGGAGGGGAGGTTCCAGGTCTCACACTGGTGGCTTGACCATCAGGGGACCCGTCACCTTGTTGATGGCGATAGTAAACAGCGGCTCTTTCCCCGCATCTGCATCCTCAGGCTGCCGGTAACAGAGGAGGTTCGTGCCTTTCAGGACTCCGTGCACTCGCGCCCAGTCCTGCCGCTCCCCAGCTTGCTGCACAGACACCCGAGGTTTCCTGGGGAATCACCCCTCCCAGCACCCTTCTGCCCAGCCCTCCACTGGAATCTGCCCCTTTCTGCCCGCCCCCTGTCTGGCCATGCCCCTCCTCCCACCCAGACCTTGGTCTTTCAGTAGTGCTAATTCCCAGGTGACCCGGCTCTCCGCTGCCTTCTCCGGCTCCCTTCCACTCCCAGGGGCCCTCACCTGCACCCTGAGGGAGCCACTGGCAGTAGGCTGCGTCATGCAGAGCGGCTGAGCCACCAGGCGGCAACACACACTGCCATAGAGGGGCAGCCAGGCAGGGTGCTCCTCTGGGAGAGAGGAAGTGCAGGGGGCGGGTGGGGAATAAGAAGGGGACCAGCCAAAGGCCCCTCTTCTCACCCTCCAGCGTGCTCCCCCCACCCACAGACTCACCGTGGCTGGCGAGAGTGAGGTCATGTGTGCGGAACCCATCTTGCACTGCGGCCAGGGTGAGCGTGGTGTGAGCCAGGAGGTGGTAGCGGGGACCCCTGCAGGACAGGCAGCGAAGTGGGCCTCAGCCAGGTGAGGAGCACGCGTTAGAGGGCAGGCGCTGTAGGGCTGAGCAGGTCTGCCCTGTGGTTCAGAGGGCCACACAGAAAACCAGCCTGCCTTCCCCACGGGAGCGGGGAAACCTCCTGCCAAGCGCCAGGCCCGTGCTTTTTATGTATGTTATCCTACTGTATTCCCACCACAGCCCACGAGGTGGGTGGCATTCTTTAGTTAATAGACGAGGCAGCTTGAGGCATAGAGGCTAAAAAAATGTGCCCATAATCTATAGCCCATAGGTAGGTGGCGGAGCTGGAATTTGAACCCAGGTATGTCTCCAAAATCAGCATTCTGTGCATGCATTACTCTAGATGTTCCCACATGGCTCCTCAGGGGCCCGGGATTCCACACGGTGCTTCCAGACTGCTGGAGGCACCGCCACAGAGCCAGCTATCCTCCTCCAACCAGGGCACTCTGTTCTATCCACATGAATGCCTCTGCAAAAAAAAAAAAAAAAAAAAAAAAAAGGGAAGACCCAGGGCCTCCCTCTCCCTGCCCTCCCATTGGTTCTCAGTTGGCTGGGTCTAGCTCCGAGTGCCTCCACGTGGCCACTGCTCATCTGTGTCTGTCTGTACGTCCCGGCTGCGGTGCAGAGTGGGTTCTGCAAGCTCCCCCCGCCCAGAGGTCACCTGTGCCAGGACAGGCATGGGAGGGCAGCGGGGGGACGGATGGCCTTACCCCACAGCTGGGGTGGGGAGCAGGACCGGGCTGCTCGCCGAGCCCCCCGCGCTCTCCAGCGACGCCCTGACGCGCCTCCCAGAGGAGCGGCCCAGGGAGCTGCTGAGTTTGGTGGCGAGCCTCCTGGGGGCCCCGGCCAGGGCCCCGTCCTCCTCCAGGCAGGCCCCGTACAGCTCCAGCCGCAGCCTGAAGTCCGGCCCTGCCTCGGTGCTACGGGAATGTGGGGAGAAGAGAGGAGGATGGTCCTGGCGAAGTCCAGGGAGGCATGAGGGAGGGGTGGGGGGAGGGTGGACGTGGTATGAGTCCAGGACAGCTCCACTGGGAAGGCCCGTCTCCCCTCCTCCCTCTTCTCCCCGCCCTGCAGCCACCTCACCAGAGCCCTGGGCAGCGGGGAGAGAGGAGAGCCGCTCTGACGAGGGACTCACAAGATCAGATGGTTCTGAAAGGTGATGTCCGTGAGGGTCCTGTCCACCAGGATCATCTCTGTGTCCTGAATGTCCTCCCCCAGCTGCAGCAGCAGGAACACGGCCCAGCGGTGCAGGTCTGGGGGCGGAGGAAAACCCGTTGGGAAAAAAGTGCCGCCCAGGAGCTTCCACCCTCAGGGCCACTCCCCTAAACGTGCCCCAGTGTGAGCGACACTCACCGCCTTTGTTCTTGAAATACTCTGTGTCCTTCCACATGAGCGGGATCCGGAGGTCTGAGGGGCGGAGGGGTGAGAACAGGTGTCGCATGGGGCAGGAGCTCTCGTGGCTGGGCAGGGAGTGCCAGGGCTGGGGGAGCTGTGCTTCTTACCAGAGATGCAGACGCGGCCTCGGCAGGGGGAGCGCTCAGCCAGCAGCCGGCCGCCGTCAGAAGGCCTGTGGGCACATCACAATGTCCCAGTCCGGCCTTCCCACGCTACTCCCCGGCTCTGGTTCCCAAGGGCTCCAGGAACACCCACCACGCCCAGCCCGCAGCCCCAGCCAGGCTGACTCTGCAGGGCTGAGGGACGGGGTGCTGGGGACACTAGAGGCACACTAGCTCACACACAGTACAAGCTCTGGGCTCCCCGCTCCAAGCACCTCCCTGATTACCTCCGCAGACCCTGCCAGGGACCAGTGGGGCCTGAGGGGACGGGTCCACAGAGAGACTCCTTTTTTTAATATATTTTTATTGATTTTTTTTACAGAGAAAAATGGAGAGAGAGAGAGAGAGCTAGAAATGTCGATGAGAGAGAAACATCGACCAGCTGCCTCCTGCACACCCCCCACCGAGGATGTGCCTGCAACCAATGTATTGCAATACATGCCCTTGACCGGAATCGAACCCGGGACCTTTCAGTCTGCAGACCGACGCTCTACCACTGAGCCGTACCGGCTTCGGCGAGAGACTCCTTTTTAAGGGCTCTTGTCCACTAAACCCCGGGCTTTCCTTTTAACAGTGAGGGAGGCTAGTCATCTCCACCACCTCATCTCAACTTTTTTAGATATAGGAGGGCACTGGATCAGTTGGAAAATCAAGCTCACCAGTGTTTTATGTAAGGAAAAAACCCGAGTAGGGAACGTTTGTGTTCTGTTTACCACAAACCTCTCTCCTTCCCCTCGGTTTGGAGTTCTCCTCTACCCTCCTGGCTGTGCCTTCCCAGTGCCCCACTGCAGGGTCCTAGACGCCCAGCCTTTCTCCTCGCCCCAGCCATCGTCAGGACTCACTGAGGACGTCCCCCTGAGGTGACGAAGGCAATCAGTATTACCCACACGCATTCATCATGCCGGTGATGTAACTCATCGGTGACATAGTCGGGCCTTAAGCTGAAGTACGTGGCACTGATGTTGATGTGGTTAGCTGTCAGGGACTCGGGGTGTACCTCAAGTCACACTAGGCCCATGAGCAGGGCAGAGACTAGAGACGGCTGCCTCTAAGGAGACAGCAAACTCCTAGAGGAAGCGGTCCCCCCGCCTGCTTGCCCTTCCGTTAGCTTTATGGGGCAGTCGTAGAGCGGGTTTTCTGCCCTCCCTGGGGCTCCCTGGGTGAGCTCCCGGCAACCTCTCCTGTGTCAGCCTTCATAGCTGAGCCGGGGCCTTCTCCCACTCACCCTTGTGGGGGCCAGCAAATTACTTCGCCAGAAGCCAATTTTACAAATGACCACTTTACCAAAAAATGGCCAATTCTTAGAATGATCAACTTGCCAAATATTTTCTCAAGCATTTTAGTTTTACTAGAGCATCACCTTCAACCATTTCTCTACAGTTTTCTCAGATCAGCAGAGTCCAATGTTAGTCTAGGTTGGATCTCACATCCAGAAAGAAGCTGAGCCCTTCTGGAATGCACAATCTTATTTATGTGAAGGGACAGGCTTTCCCTTAAATGATTTTTTTAATTTTTTTAATTTTATTGATTTTTAACAGACAGAAAGGGAGAGAGATAGAGAGCTAGAAACGTCGATGAGTTAGAAACTTTGACCAGCTGCCTCCCGCACACCCCCTAGTGGGGATGTGCCAGCAACCAAGGTACATGCCTTTGACGGGAATCGAACCTGGGACCTTTCAGTCTGCAGGCCGACACTCTATCCACTTAGCCAAACAGGTTTCAGCTTAAATGATTTTTTTATTATTTCCTTTCCCAATTTCTGCCTCTGATGGTAAACCTCAGGTACAATAAACTATCATCAGGTTGTGGCAAATTGGCCATTTGGTGAACTGAGAAAATTGGCTTTCCAGAAGCCAGCCAGCCAGCCAGCTCATCAGATTGGTGTTTTTTCATTACTACCCTTCAGACTGCCATCCTCTCACCAAACACCCTGGCTCTCCTGAGTCCAGCCCCAGCTTCTCCCTAAGCACACCTCTGGGCAGCACATGGCAGTGGTGAAACACCAAGGACTCTGTCAGGCCTGGCATGGAGAGGTCAGCTCCAGGGGAGTCCACATCCATGCGCGCGCGCGCACACACACACACACACACACACACACACACACACGCTGCACCGCTACCCTCCGGAGGCCGCGCTCCCCTTGCTCACCGGCCGCTCTTCCCCAGCACCTGCGCCTCCTTGCGCCGCTGCAGCTCGCCCATGTAGCTGAGGATGCGGCTGTTGCACACCAGCAGGCTCTTGGTGGCCTCCAGGGTCTGCTCCCGCTGGGAGCAGGCTGCCAGCAGCTTGCAGGCCCCTTCCCTCATGCGGATCTCGTGGTCCAGCTTTCTCTGCAACTCGGTGTCCTAGCCAGAGTGGGGAGAGGGATGAGGACACGTCAGTCAGGGAACAGGCAGAAGCACCCTCTATCCCCAAGCGGAGCTTGGGCCCAGGAGAAACTGACAAGAGTTACGTTTCAGGTTCCTCACGGGCAAGGGTTGAATCTCCACCTCAGCTGTCCAAGAATAACCAGCGCAGCTTTGTAAAAATACAGATGCCCTCATGCCTTTGAAGGGGGCAGTGTTCATGTCTTCAGCATCTTTTGAGCATGGTTGGAAAAATCTATGAAAACTACAAATTTACATCCTTTGGTCCAGCTATCCAATATCTAGGAGCATATTATCATTATACATGTGGCCAAGTCATATCCATTGCAGCATTGTTTTAAAGCATGAAGATTAAAAGTCCTTCGATGGGCACTGGCTAAATAAGTTATAGCACACTAGACTTATGGAGGTGGGAGGGGGAGTGGAGGGAGAGGGGTACTTCATAATTATATGTCTAATCACTATGCTGTACATATAAAACTAATATAAAATAATACTGAATGTCAACAGTAATTGACAAATTAAAAAATGGGATGGGTAAAAATAAATAAGTTACAGCACATCCCTACCGTGGAATATTGCAGACATTAAGAGTGTGCAGATAGCCCTGGTCGGTTTGGCTCAGTGGATAGAGCATCGGCCTGTGGACTGAGGAGTCCCAGGTTCGATTCCGGTCAAGGGCATGTACACTGGTTGCGGGCACATTGTAGGTGGCAGCTGACTGATGTTCCTCTCCCATTGATGTTTCTAACTCTCTCCCTCTCCCTTCCTCTCTGTAAAAAGTCAATAAAAATATATTTCTTAAGAGTGTGTAAATAAGTGTAACAATCTTCAAAATACAGGATTGTCCCCCAAAAGTGTGTGCACACACTTTGAATAATAATAAAGGCAGTGTTTCTTACAATACATTTCATTTTCAAAACTGAGCTATCAGCTGTTAAAATGTGTATACATTTTTGGGGGGATACACTGTATATGAAGTGAGAAAGTAGAACAGTATTATAGCATGCTACCATTTATGTACTAAACATACACACACAGATATAGAGATGCATAACATAGTAGTGGCAGCAGGGCTGGGAGCCAGGAATGGAACACAGGTTTATGATACTTTACTCATATATACCCTTCTTTACTACTATACTATTGGAAATTGTTGCCTTTAAAAAAAAAACTAAATCTTGCCCAAACCGGTTTGGCTCAGTGGACAGAGTGTCAGTCTGCAGACTGAAGGGTCCCGGGTTCGATTCCGGTCAAGGGCATGTACCTTGGTTGTGGGCACATCCCCAGTGGGGGTGTGCAGGAGGCAGCTGGTCGATGTTTCTCTCTCATCGACATTTCTAGCTCTCTATCCCTCTCCCTTCCTCTCTGTGGTAAATCAATAAAATATATTTTAAAATAAATTTAAAAAAATTAAATCTTAAAAAAAGAAGAAAGTACCAGACTTGCAGAATAAGGATCTTTAAGAGTGGGGCACGCACATTTTTTTGACAATTCCCCCAAGTGATTTTAAGGTATAACTAGGGCTGAAAACCACCAACTAAAGGGAACAGACACAGACAGTAAAGGCCATCCTGGGTTACCCCAAAGGTGCACGTTCTGGGGGAGGGGACCATCTACTTGACAAGGGGTCAGTGGAGAAGGAGTATACCACCTACGGAGTTCACTCCATACAACACCCCATAGTAGGGTTCTGCCACCTGCTGGCACTCTGAGCTTAGAGGGTGAAGACAGAGGCAAGGAATAGGATTGGGAAGGCAGGTAAAGCAGGAGGTCGGGAGTGAGGGACTGAGCAGGCTGTGCATAGGGCCAGAGTGGAGGTACAAGGCGAGGCACCAGATTCTCAGGAAAGCTTCTTCCCTCAGAAAGGAGCCCGGGAGGGCTCGGCACGCAGCAGAGGAGGGAGCATCAGTTTGACACAAGACAACCCTGAGTCTGAGTCACAGCACTGCCAGTCTCAAGAAGCTGGGAAGAAACTTATTGAAAAAGCATTGGGCGATTTAATTAACCTCCCCGAGACTCAGTTTCCCCATCTGTAAAGTGAGGATGGAAACCGCTCCCACACCCTGGGGCTGTGGGGATCCAGTGAGACAGGAAGGTAAAGCACTGGCACAGGCGCAGTGAAGGGGGGGAGGGGGATGCAGGTTTTAATGATGCTACTTCCGCAGCAGCATTTACCCATCCTTGTGCTGTCCAAGGCTCCATATAAAATCCCACTGGGAGCCCTAACCAGTTTGGCTCAGTGGATAGAGCGTGGGCCTGCAGACTGAAAGGTCCCAGGTTATATTCCGGTCAAAGGCATGTACCTTGGTTGCAGGCACATCCCCAGTAGGGGGTGTGCAGGAGGCAGCTGATCAATGTTTCTCTCTCATTGATGTTTCTAGCTTTCTCTCCCTCTCCCTTCCTCTCTGTAAAAAATCAATAATATATATATATATATATATTTTTTAAATCCCGCTGGGAGGTGAGAGATGCAGACATTAATGGCTGCTCCATAAACGCTATGTCATGGCATCAGCATGCTCACACTAAATAGACCCTGGTTGCTTCTGGCTGTGACGGGAAGGTTTCCGGAGAAGGTGGAGGACCAACCCCCGTACAAGTAAGTATAGGTCAGTCCATTCGGGAGGCAAGCTGGTGGGGCGTTGGGTTGGAAGAGGGGTGAAACGTGACCAGCCCAAACCTGCCTTCTCCCTCCCACCAGCTCTCTTCCACACCCTGTGCTCGTGGATGTCCCTGGTGGCTCCAGCCTTCAAGTCTCCAAGACCTGAACACCCTAAATCCCTGCTTCCAAAAGCCTTGTCTGGCCTCCCCTATACCCTGGGCCGCTGTGTGAGGCCAGACTCTCATCACCCCTTCCCTCAGCACTGTCCATGCTTCCCTTCTGACCCATCAGAAACAAGCCAGCCCGGTCCCAAAGCCTCTCCCACCAGGAAGCTCTCCGAGACTGCACAGCTCCCCCAAGCCCCGCTAGGTCTGTCTGCACCACGGTCCACCTCTGCTAAGCTTCCCTGCGTGCCAAGCCCCATCCCATTCTACATCCAGCTTCTTCCACAAACACCCCAAATGGGGGGGGGGGGGGGGAGGAGATAGACAGGCATCCTCAAGGCCCCTCCTCTGGCCTCCGCATCCCAGCCCCAGCACTCACGGATCCTTCCCTAGCCCTGGCCATTGCGCCTGCCACGCAGCCACAGGCAGCAGCTGGTCTGGAGCCGCTGCACCGCCTGGCGTCTGGGTGCCACTCCGAGCCCCGCCCGCCCGCCCAGGGCCCCGGTGACATCAGCTCCCAACCTCCGCGAGAGGAGAGCGGCTGAGGGCTCCGGGCTCCGCTCCGGGCTCCACTCCGGGCTCCCGGTGGCGAACCCTGGAGAGCCAGTCCGGTGCTGCGGAGCCTCTACACCCCAGAGCGCCCCCTGTCCTGGGAAGGGCTTGGGGCCATAGCACTCGCTGGAGCTGCAGGAGGCCCCCACCCCCACCCAGGCAGCGCAGTTGCCCTCCAAGGTGACCCCTTGCCTGGCGGGGGGGGGGGGGGGGGGTAATAAATCGGAATAACAGGCCGCAGAAGTCCCTGGGCCAGCCCAGAGGATCCTAAGGACCCAGACGCCCCTGCTGCGGTCTGCCCGCCGCCCTCCAGTCGTTTCCCACGGCCGAGATATCCCAGCTCCCACCTCTGGCTGGACAGGGCATCTCAGGAATCCTGGCGCAGTTTTTACAGTCCTGTGCTGGCGCCCACCGCCCCACCGGCCCCAGGAATGGCTTTTTGTCGCCCCCTCCCCACCCACATCCCCCCTCCCTCTCCCAGGGAGGCAGCGTTTTCACCAGACTCTCCAGAGAAAGAGCTCAGAGATGGATGTCAACTGGGCCTGGGTCAGGCCCCAAGGGATGGAGGAGGATGAGTAATAAGCAGAAGCCCCAACACACATGAGGCCCTCCAGGGACAGCCTTTCCTGTCCCCTCCCCCGCCTCCACCCGCCTCTGTCCCTGACTTCCTGCTCTGCTTCACCTTCTGTTCCCTTCGGAAGCCCCACCAGGGTCATCACTCAGGAGCTGTGAGAACAGAACCGCTGTTTGTAAACAGGGGTCATTCCACCTCCTTCTTCGCATTGTTTGAGGATTAAGTGGAAAAGTTTAACCTCTAGCCCAGTGTTTCCCAAACTTTTGACATATGTGTACCCCTTCTATAATTTTCGTAAGGCTGAGTACCCCTCGTAGTCATGAGAACATAGAATTAGGCGCAGCTAAGCACGGTGCAGTGCATATCCCCACCAAACCCGGTGCAACGCGTACCCCCACCAAATTCTTCCCATACCCCTGGGGGTACGTGTACCAACCTTTGGGAAACACTGCTCTAGCCCAACACACACACACACACACACACACACACACACACATATTTTTTTTTTCATTTAATTATTTTTTTTTTTTTACAGAGAGGAAAGGAGAGGGATAGTTAGAAACATCGATTCAGCTGCCTCCTGCACTCCCCCTACTGGGGATGTGCCCACAACCAAGGTACATGCCCTTGACCAGAATCGAACCTGGGACCCTTCGTCAACGCTCTATCCACTGAGCCAAACCAGTCAGGGCTTAAGCATATTTTTTAATTGATTTTTAGAGAGAGAGGAAGGGAGAGAGAAACCTGGGTGTGCTTCACCAGGCTTCCTCCTGCACATCCTACAGGGATCCAGCTGAGGGGGCAGTGCCCCCTCTGGGAACGGAACCAGCAGCCGCCTGGTGCTCTGGAGGACGCTCCATCCACTGAGCCACACCAACCAGGGTGGGCTCAGCACAGGTTTGAAGACACGAAGACCACCTTTCTCTCATTCCCACCTCCCCTTTACTTGCGTTACCTCTTCCAGAAAGTTGTCTGGGCTTTATTCTGCCATGACTACCTCTCTTGCCTACCCCTTAAACATCAATGGGCCTGGCTGGTGTAGCTAAGTAGTTGAGAGTCAACCTATGAACTAGGAGGTCACAGTCATGGTTTGATTCTCGGTCAGGGAACATGTCCAGGAGGCAGCCAGTGATTCGCTCTCATTATTAGTATTTTTCTCTCTCTCTCCCTCTCTGAAATCAATAAAAAAATATATTTTTAAAAGAAATCATAAGAGCTGTAACCAGTTTGGCTCAATGGATAGAGCGTCGGCTTGGGGACTGAGAGGTCCCGGGTTCGATTCCCGTCAAGGGCATGTACCTTGGTTGCGGGCATATCCCCGGTGGGGGGTGTGCAAGAGGCGGCTGATTGATGACTCTCTCATCGATGTTTCTGGCTCTCTATCTCTCTCCCTTCCTCTCTGTACAAAATCAATAAAAATATATTTAAAAAAGAAAAAAGAAAAAAAAAAGAAATCATAAGAGAAAATACAGCAAAAATAAACAAATAAAAAATACAACGGGTCTTTCTTTGTGGCGATACTGCTGAGTTTCATGGAGGAGCCCAGCACAGGCTGAAGAGAGGTGGCAAAGTGAAATCTAAGCCGCCTCCTCTGTTCCAGAACCGGGGGCAGGCCTCCCATAAAGAAAAATTACAAGGCGGGGGTAGGGGGGGTCAGAATTGAAACATTTTAACATCTGGACCAGCTCTGAGCAATAAAATCTCCTGCAATGACGGTAATATTCAATAGTCATCTAGCACTTGAAATGTGGCTAGAGCAACTAAGGAACTAAATCTTTTATTTCATTTTAATTAAGTGATAATTTTAAATAGCCACATGTAACTAGAAACATGGGCATTGCAGAGGAGCATGGGTGGCAAACAGGTTTATTTCCTGTGCCAAGACAGGACACCACATAGTGTCAGAATCTCAGTGGGCTCACTGGGCGCCTTTCTGCATATGAGGAGGAGGTAAGCTTCTCCAGGCAAACCCGTTAGGTAAAGGTGTCCCCTCCTGACGCAGCCCCAAACCAGGTCAGGACTCTGGACTCTGCCTGTGCCCTTATGAAGGAAACAACCTGCACAATTTATGCCGAGGTCGTGCTGAGAAAGGTTCTGAGGCCATGATTACGTGGCTGGTGTGGCTCAATGGCTGAGCACTGACCTATGAACCAGGAGGTCACGGTTCGATTCCCATCAGGGCATGTGCCCAGGTTATGGGCCCAATCACCAGGAGAGGTTGTGCAGGAGGCAGCCAATCAGTGATTCTTTCTCACCATTGATGTGTCTGTCTCTCTCCATTTCTCTGAAATCAGTAAAAATATACTAGAAAAAGAAAAGAAAAAAAAAGAAGAAAAAAAAACACTGAGTGCTATGATTGACAGATAATGTCTACTCTGATTCAGGGAGTGGGGATGGGGCCAAGAGAGGTGACATGAAATAAATTGCCATTTCCCATCATGGCCTGCCTACGACCTTCCTCAGCTGACTAGCCCTGCCTGGTCCAGGTGGTCATGTCCACAGATTCCTCCCTCTTCCCACTTCAGTCAATGGCCACACTGCCCGCTCGCTCAGCCACGGCCTAGGAATCATCCTCGAGTCCTCTCTTTGTCTCACCCCTCATGTCCAATCCATCAGCAAGCCCTGCCAGACCTACCGCCATCGTTCCAAGTCCACCCCCTCCCTGTCTCCACCCCGAGCACTTTCGTCCGCTCCCCCAGGTTCACCGCCCTGAGGCTGTCAACACCTTTCCTCCTGGTGGTCTTCTGCTACCCCACCTCCAACCTTCCTCTCCTACCCCCACCCCCGCCTGGCCTGTTCTCAGCAGCCATCATCCTAAAACATCAGATGAGTCATCCCTCTGCTTAAAACCCTTCCATGGGCCGAGATCACAGAGAGAGTAAGATCCAAGAGCCTTGGCATGGCCTTCAAGGCCCTGCATAATCTGGCCCCTGCCCACGAACTCAACCCCAACCCCAACCACTGTGCTCCAGCCACACTCGAACTGGAACTCATCCCCATGTAAGGGCCTTTGTGCCTGCTTAGCCCTCTGTCCAGAAAGCCCTCCCTTCGGTCTTCACATACCTTCACATCCTCCCGGGCTCCGCTCAGAGGCCTGCCCTGCCCTCTGCATCTAATGCTGCCCTCGCTCTGCCTCCTGTTATGTATGTATCTCTATGTTCATCCCCATTTCACTGTGAGATCATGTGTTTGCATGTTCATTGTCTGTTCCCCAGTGGAATGGACCTTTCCTGTCTGATTCACTGAAGTATATGCCATGATCTAGAGAGGAATGTGACATATAGTAGGTGGTCAGTAAATGTGTTGAAGAATAGCTATATGCCAGCCAAAACCGGTTTGGCTCAGTGGATAGAGCGTCTGAAAGGTCCCAGGTTCGATTCCGGTCAAGGGCATGAACATAGGTTGCCGGCACATCCCCGGTCGGGGGTGTGCATGAGGCAGCTGATCAATGATTCTCTCATTGATGTTTCTAGCTCTCTATTCCTCTCCCTTCCTCTCTGTGAAAAATCAATAAAATATACATTTTTTTAAAAACCAATAAAATATATATATTTTTAAAAGAATAGCTATCTGAGTAAATAGCTCCCTGCCATCTCCAGGATTAGCAAAATCTTTACATCCTGCCCCAGGGCTCCTTCCCCTTCTCCCGGAAGGCCATATCCTTCCTGCAAACCTCTCTCACACTGAACTCTTGTCTCCCCAAGCCCCAAAACACACATCCACACCCACCCACAGAGCTGCCATCGTAGGTGTGAAGACCAGACCCTGCTGTCCACAGGACGCGCTGATTGGCCATACTGAGCCTGACCCCCACAGCACCCAAGGCGGGGCATACAGAACCGCCTGCCCTCCCCACTCGGCCCCAGGAGGGTTGGGCAGGGCAGACACGGGAGGGGGCTGGGACCCTTGCCAAAGAGGTGCGCTGGGGCGGGGGTGGGGGTCATTACCTCCAGGCTGAGCGCCATCTGCCGAATGTAGAGCATATTCAGGTCCTCCAGGATGTGCAATCTGTCCTGCATCTCTGTGCCCCCTAGCGCCCCTTCCCGTGTCAACCCCTCCAGGTGGAAGGGGCCGGCAGGCACCACGTTGCCCCGCAACTCCTCCTCCCACTGCTCCCCTGGGCAGCTCTTGGGACAGAGGGTGGAGGGCACTCCGTGTCCCTCTGCACTCCTGTCAGACCCCTCTGCTGCTGGGACAAACCTCTCTTGCCTACCGCTGCCCCGGGGCCCTGGCGGGAGCCAGGCACAGGAGGAAGAGAAAGTAAGATGAGGGTGCGTGGGGTCCCAGCGGGGAGGCCAGCTGCCCAGGGGACTCTGGGCACGGAGTGTCCAGCCTGGCTCTGGCGGCAGCTGTTCTCCCAGCTGTGGAAGAAAAAGGCCCTTTCATTCGGACGCTGGTCCCTCCCCGGCCCCCGCCCACATCCCTGGCGGGTGGACAGGGAGTCTGCGTGCCAGGAGGGCCTGAGGGGCAGGCACAGCTGGAAGGGGGCAGGGAGGGGCCGCCTCACGCAGCTTCTGCCGAGCCCCGAAGTCTGTCAGGGGCTTGGAGCTCTCCGAAGAAGAGGAATGGAGGTGAGGACTTGCGAGAGGGAGCCCAGGCCGTGGGACAAAGGGGTGAACGCGGCCCATCCACCAGGGCCGCTGCTTCCAACTTGGGGGCCACCCTGTCCATCCGTACCCACCCTGGGCTCACAGTTACCTCGCTTTTCCAGCAGAAGGGAGAGGAGGGAGGGAGAGTGGCAGGGGTGTGTGCCTGGGAGCTGCTGCTGCCCAGCTCCCCTCGGCGGGCCCCTTCCCTTCCAGACAGGAAACCAGCCCCATTCCCAGCCAGCTGCAGCTCCGCACCCCCAACCCCCACCCCTCCACCCAGACCCACGGAGTCACACACCCGGCGGCCCGCAGCTCCGCCCGCTCCTGGGCGCTGCCCCCCCTCCCCAAGGCCGGGCTCCTCGGGCGCCCCGGCTCGCAGGCCCCGCCCTCCTCCCCGGGCCTCGCCCCTCACTCTCCCACGCCGGCCCGGGACGGGGTTACTTTTGGGGGAGACCGACAAGAGGGCCCTCTCCTCCAAGTTCCCTAGCTTCTGAGCCAGAGAAGCCCGGGACACGGAGCACGTGTGAAAGGGCCTTTGTTCCGGGCTGACCGCGGGGGGTGGAGGAGTGGGGGGGCAGGAGCCGGGCCTGGAATCCCGCCGGGAGGGAGGGAGAGAGGGACGGAGGGAGGGGGGGGAGCAGCCCCCCCCCCGCACTTAACCCCTCCGGGCCCAGCGGGGAGGCGCTGGCCTTGGGCAGCCTCCAGCCGTCCCCCTCACACACCGTTAGGGGTCACAAGTGGGGTTCGGACCTCGGCTCCGCGGAGAGCCCTGCGCCCGGGAGGAAACTGTCAGACCGGGACTGACCTCCTCTCAGGCCCCGGACAGGAGGCTGAGAGCCCGGGTGTGGGAAATACTCCCCGATGGTTACAAAGGGAACACACACACACACACACACACACACACACACACACACATACTCGCACACTCTCTCACACACTCACACACACACACTCTCACACTCACTCACACACTCACACGCACACACTCACACACACTCTCACACTCTCACACACACTCACACACACACGCGCGCGCACACACACATTCACCCACTCTCACACACTCACACTCGCACACACACACTCACACACATATGCACACTCACACACATTCTCACACACACACACTCTCACTCACACTCCCACACTCCCAGCCCCTCGCGGAGCAGAGAAAGGACCGCCTGGGGAGGCTCGGGTGAAGCGGCGCCCCGCTGAGAGTGGAGGGGAGGGTGAGGGGGTGGAGGAGGGGTGAGGGGGGACGCCCAAGCTGAAGGTCCAAGCCGTGGGGACCTGGCTGCCCCCACCCTTTGCCCGGGAGATGCCAGACGCACGTCGGGAATCAAGCCTGGGGCCCCCTAAATTGAGATCAACTGCAGCTCGTTCGTTCCGACAGAGACAAATCGCCCCACCCGGGTCAGGGGGGCTGCGGGGGCTCAGGCCCGATGACCTGCGACACGGCCGCGCCTGACTTTTAAAGTCAACAACCCGTGCTCGCTTCGGCAGCACATATTCTAAAGCCAACAACCCCTGCCGGCGGGGCTCCGCGGACCAGCGCCGGCCTGGACCGAAGTTCCCCGGCTCCATTGCGGTGAGGGGCGCAGGCTGGGGCTGCGGGCTGCTCCCCGCGAGGGTGCAGGAGGCAGCAGATCAACGATTCTCTGTCATCGCTGATGTTTCTCTCTCTCTCTCCCCCCTTCCTCTCTGAAATTAATAAACACACACTTTTTAAAAGTCAACAAGCACGGGTTTGGCCGCGGCGGCGGCGGCCCCGCCCTCCGGCGTGCGCGCGGACGGGGCCCCGGGGCTGTGCCAGGAGCTCGGGAGGCCAGGGCGTCGGGGCGGGGGTCTCACCTCGGGCGGGTCGCTGAAGACGCTGAGTCGGAAGCGGCCGCGTTTGAACTCCATCTCCAAGGCCGAGCCCCGGGCCACGGTGACCCGGCTCCGGTGGTTGCGGGAGAACATGCTGGCGGCCCGGCGCGCTGGCCCGTCCGGTGCGCCCCCCGCGCCCCCTCTCCACCCGGTCTCCGCGGCCTCTGTCCCTCCACGCCCGCCCGCCCGCCGGTCCCGCCGGGAAGCTCCGCGGCCGGTTCCCAAACTCCGCCCCGGAGACGCTACCTGGCCCGGCAGGGCGCGGCCCCCCTCCTCTCCCGCCCCCGCCGGTGGCCCGTGCGGAGGGGCCGGTTCCGGGGCGCCCCCGCAGCCCTGGTTCAGCCCTCCCGAGCCGGCCTGGCCCCACAGCCTGTCCGCCCGAGCGCCCTGCACCCCGGAGCCCTGCACAGTGCCTTCCGACCCGGGTCCGGCGCCGCACCTGGGCGAGGGGAGGGCCCGGGGCGCCCCGCCCGCCGCCCCCACATGGCCCGCCCGCCCGGCTAGTTGCTCACGGAAAACCCCGGCCCACATGGGCCGCCCGGGGCACACTGCATCTCCAGCCTGATCTCACCTGTGAGCAGCTTCCTACAATCCCAAAGGTTCTTTCTTTGTCGCCTTCCTCCCACCTGGCCTCCCGTCCCTAACAGCCGCAAGGCCAGGGGCGCGCCTTGGAAACCTGTTCCGTCACTTCATCACCGATGCCTTGACGCAGACGGGCTTGTGTTTTCTTATCTGTTCAGTGGAGATACAGTCATTATCTCCACAGGAAAATTACGGATGACCAGGAGGGTAAAATGCCAGGCATGGTGCCTGGCCTAACACAAGTGCCTCTTAAGTGGAGCTGAGAAGAGAAAGGAGCAGGAGCAGCACCCTCGTGCCCTTGGATGGGCCATCGGCGACCTCAGCTCCCTGGACCCAGACCTTAAGAGCCTTAAGAAGGCCAAAGCCAAGGCTAAAGCCGGTTTGGCTCAGTGGATAGAGTGTCGACCTGTGGTCTGAAGGGTACCAGGTTCGATTCCCAGTCAGGGGCATGTACCTTGGTCGCAGGCACATCCCCAGTGGAAGGTGTGCAGGAGGCAGCTGGTCAATGTTTCTCTCTCATTGATGTTTCTAACTCTCTATCCCTCTCCCTTCCTCTCTGTAAAAAATCAATAACATATTTTTTTTTAAGAGAGAGAGAGAGAGAGAGAGAGAGAGAGAGAGAGAGGGAGAGAGAGAGAGAAAGCGCACCTTAAGAAGGTGAGGATAGAGCAGCGTCCATAGTGACTATCTCCCAACTATTTTGCTGGGTCAGCTAAGGCAGGATTACCACTCTGTTTCTGCAGGGGAAAAAAGGGGCCCCTCCTCACCCCCAGAGAGCCTGGTCAGAGAGAAGGAAATGGCAGAGAATGGACTTGCTAGCCACACTTGAGGAGTGTCATGGGGACTTGAGAACTTACTGGGAGAACTTGAGAGAGTGGGGCTCCTTCATAGCACATGAGCTGGAGCCAGAGAAACGCCTGCCTTCAGTTTTAGGGAGCTCAGGTTAGCGTTAACTCTGCTATGGCACATTACTCAATACTAGAGGCCCAGTGCATGAAATCCGTGCATGTGTAGGGTCCCTAGTAGCTGCGACTGCCTCCTGGTAGTCAGCGCAAGTCATAGAGAGCAATACAGCTCCCAGTCTCCCAGTGGAACTCCTGTGGGGACACTTTGCATGTTAGCCTTTTGTATAGATTCTTTTAGAAAACCTGACTAAAAATTACTTCAGCAAAAGGGGAAATTTATTACTTAAGGAACTAAAATGGTGTAAGAGGTGGATGTGGCTTGACCCAGGCATTCATCTGGTATCAAGAGATCCCATCTCTTCCTATCATCTTGATCTTCTTTCCTCCAAGTCGACTTCACTCTCTACAGTGTAGCAAGATTGTGAAAGAAAATTCTGGGTCCATATCTTTTTGGAGTAAAGGGGAGATATATGGTGACAGAAGGAGGCTTGACTTTGGGTGGTAAATACACAATAAAATAAAATTCTTATTTAAAAACACACAGAGCCTTGCCCTAACCAGTTTGGCTCAGTGGATAGAGCGTCAGCCTGCGGACTGAAAGGTCCCAGGTTCGATTCTGGTCAAGGGCATGTACCTTGGTTGTGGGCACATCCCCAGTGGGAGTGTGCAGGAGGCAGCTGATCAATGTTTCTCTATCATTGATGTTTCTAACTCTCTATTCCTCTCTGTAAAAATCAATAAAATACAAAAAAATAAAAAACACAGAGCTTAGTTGGTGTGTCTCAGTGGCTGACCATCAACCTATACTAGGGAAGTCATGGTTGGATTCCCAGTCAGGGCACATGCCAGGGGCTGCAGGCTCGATCCCCAGTAGGAGGCATGCAAGAGGCAGCTGATAAATGATTCTCACAGATGTTTCTATCCCTTTTATCAAATTAAAAACACACACACACACAAACATAAAAACACACGTAAGAGTTTTTTAAACACTCCTAACCCTACCTCTTAAAAATAACATAGCTCACCTAGGTAAGTGTTACACTGCTGGGAGAACAGCAGCTGGAAGCTGGTTGGCATCCTGGGCCTGGTTCCTACCAACTCTGTTGTTAACTATACCAGGATGCCTGCATAATAATAATAATAATAATAATAATAATAATAAAATAATAATAATAGCCCAGTCAGCATGGCTCAGTGGTTAAACATCAACCTAAGAACCAGGAGGTCACAGTTTGATGGTTTGATTTCTGGTCAGGGCACATGCCCTGGTTATGGGTTCAATCCCCAGTACGGGGTGTGCAGGAGGCAACCCATCAATGATCCTCTCTCATCATTGATGTGTCTCTCTTTTTCTCCCACTCTCCCTTCCTCTCAGAAATCAATACAAAATAATAGATGAATAAATAAATATAAATAATATAAAGTTAAAAAAATAAATGAGTAAAAATGCCTTCCCTGCCACCATCACAGAAAAACACTGAGATAGTATGGTACCTCACACTGGCTCATGAGAGACAACCGCTGAATTTTCCAGAATTATGCATTTCAGATATAAGTTTAATTAAAATTTAAATTAGCCCTAGCCAGTTTGGCTCAGTGGATAGAATGTTGGCCTGGGGACTGAGGGGTCCTGGGTTCAATTCTGGTCAAGGGCATGACCTTGGTTGTGGGCACATCCCCAGTAGGGTGTGTGGGGGGGACAGCTGATCGATGTTTCTAACTCTCTGTCCCTCTCCCTTCCTCTCTGAAAAAAAAAAAATCAATAAAATATTTTTTAAATTAAAAATTCACAACTAAATAAACTTAATTTTTAAAATTGATTTTAAAGAGCAGAATGGAAGTGGGGGAAGAAATGTCCATAGTTTGCCCTTACCTGGAATTGAACCCACCACCTTTCGGTATATGAAACGACATTTTAACCAACTGAGCCACAACAGCCAGGGCTAAATAGATTTCATTAAAGCAAAGTGAGCTCTGGCCAGTGTGGCTCTGTGTTTAGAGAGTATCAATCCAAGAACTGAAGGATCTCAGATTCCTGGGCATGTACTTGGGTTATAGGTTCAATCCCTACAGGGTGGGGCGAGCTCGTGAGCTCATTCTCTCTCTCCTTCCCTCCCTTCTTCCCTCACTTTTGGAGATCAATGGAAAAAATATTCTTGGGTGAGGATTAACAAAAGTAATTAATTAATTAATTAATTAAAGCAAAACTCATCACCTCCTAATTATTTTACTACATTTTCCTATTACCTCTTGAGGTTGTTTACATCTATAGAGACAAATCTGTTTGGTGCAACTGCTATGTAATGGTGACCTACAGCACATCTCTTCCCAACTCTGTCTTGAGTTGCATTTGCAATTGGCCATGGTGACAGTGCTATTTACACAACAGAAATAGGTGAACAGTATAAATAAGAGCCCCAACGCACACCCCCGAGCTTCTGTTAAACATTTACCAGCATACCCAGTAATCCCACTTCTAGGAATACATCCCAAGAAACTAGAAACACCAATCAGAAAGGATATATGCACCCCTATGTTCATAGCAGCACAATCTACAATAGCCAGAATTTGAAAACAGCGCAGGTGCCCATCAGCAGATGATTGGATCCAAAAACTATGGTACATCTACACAATGGAATACTATGCTGCCATAAAAAAGAAGGAATTCTCATCATTTGCAGCAACCTGGATGGAATTGGAGAACATCATGCTGAGTGAAATAAGCCAATCAATGAAAGAGAAACACCACATGACCTCACTCATTTGTGGATGATAAAGAACATTATAAACTGATGAACCAAGAGACAGATATAGAGACAGTAAAGCAACAGGCAGACTGTCAAATTACAGTGGGGAGGGGAGGAAGATCTGGGGGAGATAATAGATCAACCGAAGGACTTATTTACATGCATATAAGTACAACCAATGGACATAAAACTCTGGGGAGGGAGGGTATCTATGGGAGGGAGGGAGGGGGCAAAAAAAATCAATAAAATATATATATATTTAAAAATAATAAAATTAAAATAATAAATAAAATTAAAAAAAATTTTACTGGCATGGTTTGGTGCATAATCTTCCCAACCTTTTCTTTTGCTTGTGACTCAGTCTCCAGTAGGAGGCATTCGGATCTCCAACTATGAAGTAGATGTTGGGGGGAAGGGTTGTATGTCACCCAGTGTTCAAATAATCTTCCTATGTCTGCACAGTCCTCTACTGTGGATAATATTAGCCAGTTAAGGCTCTGCCCTCTTTCTGGCAGCTGTAGGACATTCATCCTCCCTCCCACATTTCATAGCCAGGGTTAGGCACTTAGCCCTTAAGCCAACCAACTGGAATGCTCCCAACTGGACTTTGAATCTTGAATGAGTGAAAGCAAGTTTCAGAAGAATTCAGTTGTCATTACTGCACCTGCAGCCCATGAGGAGTGGGAACTCCTCATCCGTAGATTCCTGTGGTGTGAATTTGGTGTGAACTCAGTGTAACCTCAGCAGTGTGTTCTTACTGCCTGGCCTCCCTGGTTCCCAGTCCTTATCTAGGGAAAGTATAACATGAGCCCAAATCATTTTGTAGTGCAAGGAAGTAAAAAAAAAAAAAAAAAAAAAAAAAAAAAGGTGCTCAAAAATGATGGGGACATGTCAGAAGGACAAAGAAGCCATCTTAAAGAAATGCCCACTGACAAAATCTGAGACAAATCTGAGCATAAAATAAATAATGATGGTAATGTATTACAACCTGCTGAGTGAAACAGGAACCCTTACTGATATAAATAAATAGACATATAAGTGAATGTAAGACAAGAAAGTAGAATGCCAACTGATACATGTAGATGGAATAATGGAAGTAAACAGATTTTTACACCCTTTGGCAATGGTTAAAGTGGTGTTGATTCAAGCTGTATTTATCAATGGATACTAAGCCTGGTAGGTGGA